TTGCTTAGACATATGGTTTCATCGCTTAAGCCAAAAAAATATAAAAATTGCTTGAACAAGTGTTTATGGTGAATTTTAGCAAGTAAACAAATAAATTTAAAAACAATCTAAAATTAAATTTTAGGGTTGTTTAAGTATGTTTTTAACGTGATTATTAACTTAATGTCATAAGAAAGACAACAATTAAAACAAAATAGGTAGAAGAAGATGGATTACCAAAGAACAGTAAAGAAAAAAAATAAAGATTTATAGAAAAAATAATGAGAATTAAATTGAATTGCAGAATATAATTGTATAACTTCAATGATCAACACAGAAAACCGTTGATCTCTTGGTTGTCGAGTCTAGCTAATTTAAAACTATGACATGCAGAGATTTTGAATACACATATTTGTATGTAAAATTTGTAACCTCGTAAATTATGGAATAAAATCCTATTTATAATAATCATATAATAATTCCTTAAAACACGTTATCTCATGTAACTGCTGTCTAAAAAGTGTTTTCTTCTAACCTTCCTTTGCATATTATCCACGATTGAGAATTGCTTCAAATGCATTTTAATTTTTCAATATAAATTTATGATCTTTTGAATCACCTTTGTTGTATGAACTTAGATTATTTTATACCAAGAATACTTCAACTTTTTTGAAATAAATTAACTTTGGATAAATCATAAAATAGCATGTCAAAACACTCTTTTTTGACACATTTTCTTATAATGTTACCCTTTCAACTAAAAGTTAAGTTCTTTGACCATTCTCTTGAAAACTTGTCGAGACATTTTTTTTAAACTAAAAATTTGTATTATTTGATTCTCCCTTATTTCTAAAAATTTTTCAAAAAAATAGAATCTTATATTCATAAATTTTAGTCAAAATATGTATCTAAATTATATAAGAGTAACAACTTTTCAAGAAGTATAGAATATTTTTCTTATATTTTTTGAGCAAAATAGGTCAAATATCTTTTAATCACACAAGGGTCTTCGTTAAAACATAGCGCTGTTATAACTAAAAAAAATTCTTTTTTTCTCAAACAGGATAAAAATCGCTTAAATAATAATAAAAAAAAAAACTGCACGTCCATATCATGAGCAAATTCACGGAAAAAGATCCGTATTCCAAATTTTCATCAATAAATTATTATTTTGTTTAACCACTGTTTACGGTGAAAAATGATAATTGTAAACAAATAATCCAAAGATCGATCTGGGGACTGGATTTAGGTCCTCTTTGGGTTCTTTTAAGTGTGTTCTTAACGTGATGCTCAAATTAACGGCGGAAAAGAGTATTAAGCAAGAATAGTGAATAATAAATGGGCAGAATTGAATCAAACGTAGATGCTTTTACAAAAATGTAGTAAACAGGAAACAAACAGTGTACAAAGGTATAAGCAACAAGCACTAAAATTAAAATGCAAAAAGGTAAATGCGGGAATGTAAAGGTGCTGGAATGTAAACGTACGACTCCTCACAACGGCGAACAGCGGCCACCGTGGGTCTCCTTGTAGCTGGTGTCTGGCGCGGTGCAGGGTTTCAACGTCTCAGAGAGTTTAGGTGCGGTGTCTGGGTGCAAAAAGTCGTCCCCTGTGAAATGGTGCTTTGGAGTATTTATAGACATGAAGATCACCACCGTTTTCCTCCTTTTGCGGATACTTCTTAGTAACTGCCTTCAACTGTTGATACTCACTATCCACGATTACTTGTGATCGTGTTGTTCGTTGGGACTTCTTTCGTAACCGCTATCGTCCATGATTTCCTTTGCGTAGTGGTGAATATTGATAACTACTGGTAACCGCTTTTGGATTTTTCAAGACTCCTATCTTTCGAGTATTTCTGAGAGAAACTTAGGAGACTCCTTTAATGTTATGGCCTTAGAATAGTTTCTTCTTGACTTCTCTTTTCGAGCCATTCTGGAATTTTGAGAGCCTGTCTTTGGTCTTGTGGACTTGGAACATTTTCTTTGCTCATTTCTGTTTTTCGAGCAATTCTGGAGGGGCTCTGGAGCTCGACCAAGTTTGTGGACTTAGAATATTTTCTGACCTCTTCTTATTTTTCGAGCAATTTTGGAGGAAATCTGGAGCTCAGCTAGGTTTGTGGACTTAGAATATTTTCTGACCACGTCCTGTTTTTCGAGCAGTTTTGGGTATCAGGTACTTGGAAACTCCTCGAAAACTCCTCGAAAAGCCATCAGTCTTTGTGGACTTAGAATATTTTCTTGTTAGTCCTGTTTTTCGAGCAGTTTTGGGTGTCAGGGACTTGAAAACTCCTCGAAAACTCCTCGAAAAGCCATCAGTCTTTGTGGACTTAGAATATTTTCTTGTTAGTCCTGTTTTTCGAGCAGTTTTGGGTGTCAGGGACTTGCAAACTCCTCAAAAACTCCTCGAAAAGCCATCAGTTTTGTAGTCTCGGAATATTTTCTTGTCTTTCAAGCAGTTTAGAGAAAAATCAACAATGTGACAAAAATATCCTAAAATAGCTCGAAATGTGTCTCTTTTAATTAAAACTAAAGATCTTAAATAATCTTCCAATATTCTCTTATGTTCAAGCTTATCTTTGGCTCCTTCTTGACCCCCGAAACTTGTTGAAATGTAGTTTCCTTCGAGATGATTTTCAACTTAGAAAATTTTTCATTATCCCAAACAACCACAAATCACAAAAGGCAGGAAAATTAAATCTCTGAATACGTTTTAAGATCGTTTTCTGGACATTACTGCTTCATAAGTACGTTCAAGGCATTAAAAATAACTATGCCATCATGCCAATAACATCGAAGAAAAATAATTTATTTTTTTGTAATCTTGAAATTAATTAAATACAATACGTGGTTACTTTCGTAATATTTCAAAAACAGTAACAAAATCAATATAAGATAATTTATATAGGTCAAGAATATTTAACTGTTAATAATAACAAATAAAATAAGAGAGATTACTATTTATCTGAGTTTATCTACCCACCACTCAACTGATCAAGCATTGTGTTGATAGCTCATTAGCTTGTTATAAAAATACTAATAAACAACACAAGTGGGGAAAAGAAATGGATAAAAAAATGTAATTGAAACAATATCGAAGTTGTATATTATATAAGGTAACAATAGGAGTATTACATATAACTAGAGCCAAACGAAATTCCAATTAAATACAAGCTTTCCTAAAATACAAAATTCTTGATAAATTAAACTCAATTTCAAATAAAGATCATACAATAAATATTTCTAACATGAATCAGGTTCCTTTTTTATTTTCTTGTATATCATTTTAAAGACATATCCAACGCGTTAAGAAAATTACCATAAAAGACGCAGCAATTTAAGAACCACACAACATCAATGAAAATGAAAGATTGGAATCTTTTTTTGAGTGGGAGAGACATATTGGGACTAATATGTTCTAATTGCGGCTTATAACACGCAAAAGAGAAGTGGTGTAAGGTATAAGAAAATTAGTAGTACATGGAACTTGCAATATGGTGTTTTTTCATTGATGAATTTACCATCAATTGGGCAAAGCACATGTTAGGCGACAAGGTCACAAAGAAGCACGCTTCATGTTACTACCGCCGTCAATACGCTTTTTGCTTTGAGCCAACAATTGCATATGGCTAATGGATATGGAAATCCAATTAGTGAGTTGAATGCTGAGTGAAAAGAAAAGGGAAATATTAGACACCATAACAGAGAGAAAAGAAAGAAAAGAAAGGAACGTTGACAGCATAGAATGATATATAAAATTGGATTATTATGTTTGGACCTTAGCACCTACAAGTTCCGAGATATTTTAGCCATTGATTAAGGTCAGTGCTACTTACTAACCCATCACCTCAAGTGGCAATCTTATCCACATGTAGCAGAAAGTTACATGAACATAAATCATCACTAACATCAAATAGAATGCAAGTGTAAAGTGAAAATGAGTGTTACCATTGTCTTTATAAAATGAGTATGCGTTAGGTTAATTATTTTGTATGTAGAAAAAGCTTATAATCAAAATGCAACGGAGATTGGTTTTGGCTGAAAAGTTATTTTGATAAAATATTTTCCTAACGTGTTTAAGGACATATATAAATTTTTATTGGAAATGATAGAGTTTGTAAAATAATGTAACAGAATGGAATGAAAAAAAAATTGTATTTTAACCCAAAAATAATTGAGATGATTGGATTAGTGATGTAGAGTTTGAAGAAATTTACATGAAGCTTTATGCTTAAACCTTATTAACACCATTGTATTGAAAAAATCGATGTGATGAGTAAATTCAATCATCTGAGAAAATGAATGTTTTGAATATCAATACTAGTTTGTCCTCCTTTAAACAAATAATTGAAACACTCGAGAGGAAAAAATCCCGAAGACTATGGAAGAACTCGTAATGGTACATTGGTTCGTAAAACGTAACCGTGATGTATCGTTCAACATAAAAATATTGATGGCGATGTCAATCAAAATAGCATGATTCTCAAGACTGTTTTAATACTTTGATTGCGTGAATAATCCATCATGGGTTTTGGGTTGCCATTACGAGAAAGTCCACTCTTGGTAAAACGTGAACTTGTCAATTAAAGCAAGCTAATCGGACTTCAATGACCTGTTCACCTTTGAAACATTTCAACTGGTATTGTAATCAAATTGAATTCGTTTATTTGGGCAAATATAATTTATCTGTCGAAAAATATCTTAAAAATTCAAAATATAGTATCTAGAGAAATTGTCATCCTATATATATATATATGTTTGAGAGATAGGCTTACACAGCAATATAACAAATAGAGAAAAAATTTGAAGAATTATTATATGTAAAACAAACATTTTCCTTGTCAAATCAGAAACAGGATTCAAAACTTGAACTATATTTTTATTTTATGTCAAAAACTGATACTTGTTTTCGATAGACTTTTCACGAAATACAAATTTCAATTGCCCAACCAAAAACAGATATTCAGAACACATTAACATAATGATAAGCAACAAATGTTAAATAAAATAAACCAAATTTACAAGTGAAAGGCGAAAGGGAATCTAACCTTCATAGAGACCATTTTGAATAATTGATGACAGTTTATATACCAAATTAAACGAACAAAATTGGTGTGAAATCCTAATTAGAATACACTTACATGATTACACAACTAAGAAAACAATTGAATGTGTAAAAGAATCATCTATACATGCCGCAACCAAACTAAGACCTCGAAGATACAATCATCTCTATCACATGATTGATTAAACAACCCAATCTATTCAGCGATAGACTAAAGAAATAATAACCTAAAAACTTTCAATGAAAAAAAGCGGTAGTCAACAGAAGGCTATAAGACAGATGCTTGATGTGGTAAATTTGTTAACCCTTTAGAACCTATCTTCAATGCATATGTGGATTCTATCCAATCTGTCTAGCTTCTCTGCAAAATTTATGGCAAAATTCTCTCATCTTGAATCAAGAGATTAGTAGGAGCCGCCACTCATTGGAGGCATGCCAAAAGGAGGCATTGGGGGCATCCCCATACCACCCATTGGAGGTGGTGGTTGTGGAGCAAACCCTCCTCCACCCATTCCCGGCATTGGTGGTGCAGGCAAAGCTAATGGCAACAATTGGGCATACATATTCTGGAGATAATTGAAAATATTGCGTTACTTTAGTAGTCAAATGTAACATAAAATCTGTACAAAAAAAAAATTAGAAAAAACGGCAACCTCAACTCAGAACTTAAGCAAACAAACGTAACAAGTTTCTATTCACAAAGAATGCATTTATTATATCGAGAATATAAACGTTTAATCAATATCATCTAACTTACTATTTTTATATGCTTAAAATCAGTTGAGGCTGAGGATATGAAAACCATAAAAAATTATTATCAGACTTATGGAAAGTAATAGATAAAAAAAAAAAAGACCTGCTGAGCAATAATTTCCTTCTCCTCCTTCTCTTTAGTTTTCTCCTCAATTTGGGCTTCAATTTTGTCCTTGATAAGCTCATCCACCTTACTAGTATACTCTCGAATAAACTAGGAGGAAAAGATACGAAATGATTAACAAAAAGGAAGAAAATTCATCCATTCATATGTTTAACAAAAAGAAACCCCAGTGAAAATTATACCTGTAAAAGGTAAGGGAAAGAGAAATCAATCATATTGTTCATCCAAGCTAGCTCAAGAGCAACATCTGGCCGTATTACTTCATAACAGACAAAGAGACAAGATGCAAAACACTCTTTCTTCCCCTGGAAATAAACAATAAAATATGAATATAATTCCTGTGTTAAAAACTAAGACCAAAGGACAGAAGCATGCATGAAAAAGAAAATAATAGAGGCGTAGAAGGAATGAATATCTGAAAGCTATTTAACTTGAAGCAGGCATCAAACTATGAAATGCAACCTGGAAAGGATCGAATATATGAATACCAGGTTTCAATATTTCAAGAAAGGGAATAAGAAAATATACCTGCTCAACAAAGTAAACAAGTAAATCCTCTGAGAGTTCACGGTCACCAGATTGAGAGCAAGTTTCCATACAGTCCTTGTAAAGATTGTCCTTCTTTGACAAGGCAATGGACTGTTTCCATCTTCCAGCCTTCTTATAAATATAAGCAGCAACACGCCTCATTTCAAGAAGCTCATGCTTCTCAATCTGCTCATATATATTGTTAAAGTCAATCAATAATTGGTCAAAATTGGAAGTTTTCCAGTAAGATTCAGATTTCAATATTAGCAATTTATCCAAATAAGACAAGAGAAAGGCAAGATTCACCTTCTGTGCAAGACCTATCTGATCGAAGTTATCATGCAGATCTATTGATTCACGAAGTCTATCATAGTCTTCCTCCTCAACATAAATTTCATTCAAAGCTTCATTAACAGCAGACACATTGTTGCTTTGAACTGCAACCATGTACGGCTTAACCAATCGGATGTGGCCTGCCTAAAATCCAGAATAAATCGAGCAACAAATAAGATCATTGTAAAAAAGTATTTACAAGCATTATTTATCTCACCAAATTAGATCAAAACTGCAGGCAATAGAAAATAAAGTATGGGACATACAGACCTTCCGCATTATATCTACAACACGGGTATGATCCAGACGAAGGGCAAGCACATTCAGAAGATCATTTATAATGTCAGGATGTTCTTGCACGTAGAAATGAACTGCCTTATAGTAGAGCTCCACACTTGCAACCTTAACTATAACATCTTTGAATTGCATGTGGTCCCAAGCTTCTGGAGAGTGATTCATGACAGTGGTTGCAGCATTATCAAACTCATCGTATTGGATGTATAGGTATGTAAGTTCCTTCCAGTGCTGCTGCTCATCGCAGGCTCGAATCAGCTTGGGAATGTTAAGCCGAGTTGAGAACAACTTAATGTGTTCCATTAACTTCTCAGGACGATATCGTGCATAAAGGACTCCCAACTCGGTAAAGATACCCATATGGGCACGCTCCAGTCCTAGTCCACTCTCCATAAGAGATATGAGTTCATTAAAGCATCCCCTGTTCTGATAATATTCACTAACCTCTTCCAAATCATCCACCTTCATAGCAATAAAGAGCAGTTAGTAGTCAAACAACAGAAAATAACAGTAATAGACGGTTTATCTGCCTCTTGTAGCCAATGTTCTACACTTCCTAAATTTCATAACACACCTCATTAAATTGCACGTAAAGATTTAGAGTGAGAGATAAATCTTTATATTGGAAATTGGAGTTAGGTGGTGGAACTGAATAATCAAGATAAAAGGGGAAAAAAAATGCTAGAAAAGAGTGCCACCTGAATAATGACATTGAGACCACAAATCTGAGCTAGACGGAATTCCTCAGCATCCACACATGCAAAACAAACTTCCTTCCATGTTTTTGAACTGTTTGCTTTCCTAGCAGCATCAACAGCACCTTGGAATTGTTTAAGCTTCACCAGTGTCACTGCTAACTTAGCCCAGTTAGAAATAAAAGCAAATATAATTTTTGCAGCCTCATAGAGAGCCTCATCAAACAAACGGTCTCCAACATTTGGTAAGTTAGCAACATTTGGCATCAATATAAGCTCTTCAATTTCTCCAAGCCGATCAATCTTTGCATATGCATAAATGAGCTCACTGTCCACCTTAGGCTCCTTGGTCTTCTGCCTAACCATGAGAAGGTACTTTACTAGGTCATGGTATACTTCTGCATCTTCAGCAGCCTTTATAACCTCTAAGAAGTGAGTGGAATCATCAGCACGGATGAATGACTCAATTGCATCACTAACTAAGCCTTCTCTTAGTTGCGCCTTAGCTACTTGGCTCCATACAGCATCTTCTTCAACACGGAATGCAAACTCCACAGCTCGATCAATGGTCCGAAGGTTATCTAGCAGGACATTGACAGCCTGAACATTCAAATTAAATTTCTTGAAAATAGCAAAAGCTTCCTCATATAGCTGTGCTTCTACTGCCACCTCCCCAACAGCAGGGCCATCAAAGTTGTCCAACCTATTTATGTAATCCATGACCCTTGAAGGATCTGCCTTGATTGCAGTAAGGATCAGCAAATTTTGCAGGTTAAAGTTTCCACTGAAAGCAGAATTTTGTAAAACAATTTTTTCAAGAAGCTCAATCAACTCATGGGGAAGATCAGCAGTCATAAAAGCTTTCACTGCAGCAGAAACTTGCTCAGGACTCTGGCTTTCAGGCAAAGCAGTTGACACCACTTGATCAATTAACTGCCTTCTGTACTCATTCTCAGGATCAAGAACTTTTTCCCAGAGGTCTGCATCCATACGTTCCACCACATATCTGATACAAATATCAAGAAATAACATGAGTATCCCAGACTAACATCATGAAATACAATGGCATCTTCCTAATGTGGGACAGTATACACACCTGGCTTGTAATTTGAACAAAGAATTTTTATTGGTAACATTAACAAGCTCATCATCACATTGACCCCTTCGGTAAGCTACAACAGCAAGTGTAGGATCCCGTTTCTCACAATATTTACCAACAACACGAGAATCATAATATGGGTTGGTTGTAAGAAAATGCTCAGGATTGTTATTGCTGTCAATGATAATTTTACCCAGAGCATTATGAACATGTACATCCTGGCTTCCCTCACTTACAAGATGCTCTAAGAACTGAGTAAGCAAGCGGAGACGATTCCTGCACATGGAAAGTGAAATGAGAAAAACCAATATAATAATTTGGAGGTGCAAGGTAGAAAAAGAAGTACACACCTCTTCTCACATTCTTCAACTAAAGGCTCAACTGGAAGAAGAGAACGAACTGAAAGAATAAGACCTTTAATGAAATCTTCAGGACATTCATCATCTAACAATTGTCCCACAACTAGAGGAGCATTTCCTGGATTGACCTAAAACCAAGAAGTATAATGTAAGGAATTCATGTTTAAGATCAGCACAGAAAGATTTAAAATACACTGCTATAGCGAGAATAACAAAACTGAAATGCCACCCCTCACAACAAATTTACCTTTTGAACATATCCTTCAATGTAACGAAGCATATTGTTGGTATAGAGATAATGGGTGAGATCCGGAACAAAACCAAAACGGTCACACACATTAATCAATGGTCGTGCATCTGGAAGCTTAGCCTCCATTAGAAAGTTCTTCGTCTTCTCAGCATCATAAAAGTTTGATTCTCGAGTAACACGCTCTACCTCCTTAAGTTGTCCAGTTTTAGCAGCTGCTTCAATGTACTTGAAGTGAATATCAGGATCCTCACTGTACAAGACAGAATAAAAACCAAAGTTATAAAATAAAATAAAAAACTAAAATAGTCTAGAGAACTGATGTCATGTACATTGTCCATTAAAAAAAAATACCTAGAGCTCAAATATGCACCCAAGAAAAAGTATAGTCCTTCATAGGACTTGAATTGTTCAAAGAGTTTAATGCATGCATCAATACCCAGCTGCTCACAATATTCCTTAGCAGTCTGCAAATCATGCACTAGTAAGATTCTTCTATAGTAATTATAAAAGCCCAAACAAAATTGATTTTTTTTTATGGAAACGTTATATCAAGCCATGATACAATACCTGCACAATTATTTGAAGATTGCCCCGAAGGTTGACCAGTAGAAGATCTTTCATGCACTCCAGAGCCCATTCTTGGGAAAGGGTTCCAAAGAACTCAACTAGAGCCTGAAAACCATTTTATGATAAGAAAAATTGGAACAATTTTTTGATAGATCCAGTCACATGAGCACTTGAAATCCAGACCTGTGGTTCAATGGCATGTGTATTCACAATAACACGTTTGATGTCAGGCAACTCAGTATAATGCTGCACAAGAGACAGATGAGAAGGTTCAAGTATTTATTCTGACAAGAAATTACAGTCAGCCATCAGAATTGAAGAAGCCAAGAACCTGAAGAGCCCGTATGAAAAGCCCGGCCTTTTCACTAAGCTGTGCAATCCGTGGGCGATCATAATGGCTAAACATGCCATTGGCCAATATGGCATCAGCAACATTTGGAAAGGTCACAAGGTTAATTTCCAGTACCTAGAAATAATAAATATAAAATATTTTCAAAAAATTAAGACTGGGAACAACACCATTTAGTACACGGATAGAGTTAAAGCACAGAAAATAAAAGAACCTTTGTTTGAAGATATCCATGTTCAGGTAGGTTTGGCTTCAGCACATCCAATAAAAAGGCAGTTGCCTCACGGATTAAATTCCTCTACAAAGTGATAGAAGACAAATATAAACAAAAATAAGGGTCATCATTTCCAACACATAAATAACAAACAAAAGGGAATAATTGGTTCTTATTTTAACAAATAGTCCTCAGTTCAAAATATTGAAGGAAAAATGAACCAATATCTAAGCCCAAGTTAGATAGTAATCCAAAAACATTAACAAAGCATGATTTAAGAAAGAGAAGGCCTGGTTTAATATAGATTCTCTCATTTCGTTTTTCAACTAAGCAGAAGATGAAGTTCAACTAATTCTCAAAAGCATGTTTCATGCTCCCACTTAAAGCATGACATTAATGGTTTTTTAAAATCAGTAAAGCATATCACAACACAAGTAATCAAGTAATGCTGGTTCTATAAACAGTAACGAATGCTGCAACAGAGAGAAAAGAAATTGTGAACATGAAACTTCAATTGTCTAAATTGTGGATCAAATTACAAATGATAGGAGAGCACAACATCATTAAAGCAAAAGGATAAAGCTAAATAAACCTGAAGAAAGAGGTCTGTTATTGTGTTGTAGTCAACAGGGCAACCCCCTTCCATTTGAGACATCATCAGAGCAAAATTTACAGCACCCTACAATGAAATAAGTTCTGAATAAACAAATAGAAAAAAGTGAACTAGCAAGATAATAGATATTTTATAAAGGTAGACATCATAAGCAATATTGAACAATTTCCATTTGGATGCATTTAATATCATTCATGAGTGCTATTATTTTATGTACTTCACAGTGTGATCAGAACAGAAACAAGTGTACCACAAAAGTATTTCATAAAAGGTAATAATCATTTTAATTTTTTGTTCTGAAAGAAACAACTAACCTGGGCATCTGCCCGCAATATTGTTTGCAGAAGGAACAAGTAATCAGGGGTGTATCCAACCTTCAGCAAATAAACGGAGAAAAATACATCAACATTTACTATAAAACAAAAAATAGTTAGACTACGTAACAAGACAAATATATAACATATAACTCATAGTACCACTATATACACAATTTTATAAAACCTTATAAAATAATCTTTTCATTACCTGCTTTGAGTATATCAGAATCTTGTCAAATTCCCTCCTCTCAGCAAATGCTGCAACAACTTTTGGTGTGGCTCTGGCCTTGATATAGATTTTCAATGCAAGGTCATTATCCACTGTCTGCATTATATGCATGTCTAGTAAGATTAGAAAGACAAAAAAAAAAGGGAAAAATAAAGCAAACTGAACAGAGATTGAGTTCCCTCCAAGGAATTGAAAACTGCAGTAAACAAAATTGTATGCTCTGCATGCAAGCATGTGCTTGAGTGCATTTATATAAATGGAAATCCAAACAGCAAAACCAATATCCAAGGAAGAGGAAGGGGGAAAAATAGGCTCCTGAATGACTAAACAGCTTAAGAAGTACTTATTTCATGGGAATAGTTAAATAAAAACTACTGTCATAACTGCAGTCCAACTAATAAAAGATGAATAGAGTTTGATCATTTTTTAAGGTTAAATTAGTCAAAACTTATTACACAATTTAGCTTACAAAAATAAGTGAAGACAGATTGCAGGGGTGTTTTAAAAGTCATTCTGATAAGCTCATTCAAACAGATCCTAGAGTTCAAACTTAGTATTAGTAGCCTCAAAGTAAACCAGGTCCGCTGAAAGATCAAGGAGACTGTTGTAGTTTATGTTACATGATAGTTTGTCTCCATTCAATTATGAAAAGAACATCTGCATTTTTTTATTTCATAATGATTAGTTTTAAATTTATACGAATGGTGACAAGTGATCAGAATTTTCAATGTGCAAAGGAAACATAGATCACAGGAAACAGCTTAAGTTTTCACCCTCTAACCCTAAAATAAATAAATATGCTAGACTAAGAAAGAATTAATTTAAATTTTTATCAGAACCTTCACAAGGTCACCAAGCTCCTCACTGCATTCAAGTTTGTCCTCTGCTAGCCAATTTTCCAAAAGATTCTTCTTGTTCTGATTTACCACAAGCCGTGACAGTTCCAATGACTCAAAAGCATTGAGTTTTCCCCTGGTTAACAGAGTGCCAAAGTACTGCAACAATGGTGGTGTTTGTCCAGCTTGCACAGGTACACTCTGAAAAAATTTAACAAAATAAATCAAGAACTAGATGAAAAAAACTTATAAAACTCCCATATAGTGAGCCACAATAAATAAAAACCAGACAACTGAAAGAAAACACTTAACAGGAACAAGAAGCTTTAACAGGAACAACTGAAAAACACTCATTACAAAAGTATACCTGAAATTTAGCAACAGTGTCAGGAGTTCGAAGAATTCCTTGTGGAGATTCTGCAGCAAGCTCTGCAGCTTCCTTATACTTGGTCTGAGCAAATAATTCTTGAAACCGCTTAACAACCTGAGAAAAAAGGCAGAAATTTGACAATCACCAAGGGTAAATTATAAAAACAATAGAAAAAAGAAAAAAAGCATGCTTCCCAGTTCCCTCTGATCAAATCAACTAGGAAGCAAATAAAGACGGTAAAGATAAATTATATGCTAAGGCAATTAAAATTTTCTCAGTTCAAATAAAAAACATGGTTCCATTGCACTTCACCAACATTCTGCTCCTCAGCACGTGCTTTTGACCAAGATTCCCCCAAGTAACTTGAACATAAAAGCTGTAAAGTCACCTTTCTAGTGCTCAATATAAAAAAAGAAACTGTGCACACAAGTATGTACCCAAAAAAAAAATATATTGTTTATAATTCTCTAGCAATTTATGCTAGTCAGTTGCTAACAATTGTCCTAGATCACACTCCCAGAATGCTTTGCAGACAACTGCAATGGCAAGAAGTATACACTGAAAACAGAAAATATTCTAGTAAAACATTCATGCCACTCAATACAGTCAGCCAGTCTCAAAAGTCAATATGAACATGTAAAGTTTCACAACATTGATAACAGCACAAAATCAACTAAATGTAACTCATATTACCAATTCTTCTGCACCAGGGAGGTTTCCTCTTTTAGCAAGATTAACAGCAAGTTCCAAATTGTTTAGCTGGAAATTTTTTTAAAGAAACATTTAGATGTAGGCCCAAAGAAATCATTTCCATGATTCAGCTTATCAAGAAACATGCAACAATGCAGATATTACCTGGCCACTAACAAATGGAACAATGCCTGCCTCATTTACAGTAGCAAGCAACACCTGGCCACGTCTATTGATAGCATAAAACCCCCCCACTGATGATGCATCGCTGGTCAAAAATATAGGATCGGGACTGATTCGGTTTCTATAAATAGCAGTTGCTGTCTCCACATCATAGACAAATAAAAGCCCAAGCTTTGTGATAACATATATCAATCCATATTTATTTGAAATCTGCATGATAAAACATATCAACTAAATATTTTATAAATGTCAACCAAGAATCAAGAATATCAATTGATTATAGAGATTTGTAGTTAAACCTGCATCGACACAGGAAAGTCATCAGCAAAGTCTGGAGGGAAGAACAGATCCGCCTGTTTCTTGGTAAATGATGTTTTTCCTGATAACAAAAACAACAGAATACACCCAGATGGTATCAAGAAGTATGAGTTGCCAAGGAAAATAATCATTTACTTTAGCATGTCCTAGATAGAATAAAAAAATGTTACACTTATTTAAAGCATCAACAGAGAAGGATAAACCAACTATAAACTAAGCATAAATTGAGGAGCAAAACTCAGAATCCATGTGAAGTAGTAGTAAACATAAAATACTACTAAAAGACACTACAATCATACCTTATGTGACAGTTTGTTATAAAGTATTTTTAGTTTTCACTTCATTTGAAAGGGTAGTTAACTATGTATAATATTGATGATAATTTTAAATTCCATCCACTTCATGTCTGATGATCTCATTTTTTGTTAATTAGTGGTATTAATATTCAAAACAGCATATCTACTTGGAAGAAACTGTTAGAAGACTTCATAGGTTTATATTTATCAGCAATCATACCAATACATAGGCATGTACCAGTTGGCTAGTAATCGATAGTCTATACAATGATCTAGCCATGCATATACCTGGCTGGGCACCAAGTTCAATGACATGCATCTTTGATGTAACCTGTCCAGCATTCATACTTTTTGATGCAAAACAAATTAAGGTAGAATCTTTATCGTTCCCGGCAACCTACACATCACATAGAGCATCAAACAGCATTGAATTAGCAGCAAAACTAAAAGCTACATTCAATATCCATGTAAACAAATCACAGAGGAGACAAAATTACTCTAAATGTGGCAAATGAGGCAGCATGTGCTTCAAGAGCCTGGCTACGCTGCTGATCCACAGAGAAGAGTTGCATGTTTCCTTTTACTAGTTGTGGTCTCTACAATAAACAAAATGCAATAAAATTACTCTAACAATCAATAATCTGATAAGGTTTGATGTTCAAAATCTGAAACACCTAAAAGGATGACTTTTAGTCTTAAAAATATTTGCAATCATCAATTGTAAGAGAAAAGTAGATAATTCATTAATTTAGTATAAGAAAACGATTTTATTAAGAAGGTGCAGGAACTAGTTTAAGAAGGATAACAATTCCTCTTAAGCAAGAAAGATAAAGAAAAAGAAAAATTCATTAGCTTAAAATGAAAGAGTATTCCTAACCTTTTGCAATCAGTACACAGCAAAGAAAACCTTTAAAATGTTAAAAATGGAAAAAAAAAATATAAGCACAGTAGAGACTAAATACAAATTTGAAAAACAATACCAAAATAAAAAAGTCAGGAAAACATATATATGAATGAATAACTAGAGAAAGGTCAAGTACAATTTTTTCATAAGAAAAACGTAGATATTTTAATTTGACATGTATATATTATCTTAATATTGTGTGTATAAAACCTTAAACAGATAATCCATAAACTTGTCTTACAACATGAATGTTAACTCAGGTGCATAGACAGGTAATACATGAAGTATAAGCTCAATCATAGAGTTTCATCAGCATGTATTCATAAATAAGCTTGTGATCTATAACACATTTTAGCAAAAGATCAGACAGGAACTGCCTATTTACATTACCAACACAGTTACAACATATAAAGAGATGATATCAGAAAGTGTCAGCAATCCTTAAAATGGCCAAAATAAAACATAAGACAGTCAAAATTTGAAGCCCATTAGCAAACCCATATGAGGAATTGCTAAGGCTACAAAAGCAATGCCTTAAAGTCACTAACAGAAAGAAATCACATACCTCCGGTGAACCAGGAGCAATTCCAATCAAAACCAACCACTTTTCATTAGGATCACAACGATAGTTGATAATTTGGTTATTTGCCAGATTAGCTGTTCGGTCAAACATCTTCACTGGCCCACTATCACCTAAGATAACAAAAATGGTAAAATATTAAATTCACAAACATAAAAGTTCTGTGGCATGAACTTAGAGTATAAGACCTTCAGAACCTTCAATTGTCAAATTCAGATAGACTTCCAGAAGAGAACAGGCAATAGAACAAATGTTTAGTGCTGAAAAATAAAAAAACCTAACCTTCAATTGACCAATGATACACAGACGTCTGCGTGACAATTCCTATTGTCTTTGTTGTTATCCACTTCCAAAAGACAACCTAAAGGAAATGGAACATCAAACGCCAGATAATAAATAATCACATATACAATCAAACACATTATCAAGCAATAATTTATTTATTTTTTACAGGGAAAATCTAAGGTTTTAAATTGCAGACCGCATCACATGATGTGGCCGCAACATCTAGGTCATGGTGGCTGCTACAACCGCATCAAGCTGTGATTGCATACCACATTGACTGCAATTGGCCCACCTTAACCCACAATGCAAAACTGCAATTTAAAACATTGACAGACCTAAACCGCTTATAAATTTGCATTGCACCTGCTCTGTCATCTGGTGCGATTTCATTTTTGCTTTCATTTCAATGTTAAACACCTGCAAATGATCCTGAGTGGTCCCTGGAACTTGGGCTGCATATGGAACCCCACATTCGTGAGACAAAGAAAACCCATACATACACATGCAGCAGTTATTCAAATCATTCACAAACACAATAACATGAACCCCAATACTCATTCACCATGACAAAAATGCGTACAGTATGCACACAATTTATGGATGCAGACACTACTACACAATCATTTTGGTTCTTCCCATCCCATGACCACAAAAACATACATAAGATGCAATTGGGAGCTACTGACACAAATCAAAGCCTACAATGTTACCTTTAAGAGCAAGAATTCTAGAATTGGGATTCATCAAAGCAGAATCAGCAGTTATGGGCCGCCTCAAAGGCTGCATTGGCATGCTCATGTCAATGATAACAACACTGTTCTGAGGTGCCGTTTCCCTGACACATATATACTTATCCGATTCCATTGTCACATGAGTAAATGTAATGAATTGCTGGTTGATTCCAACGCTTCCCAGCTGCAGAAAAACACCAAATCTCAAATTAAAAAAAAAAAAACGGAAATTTCATAATTGGGTCATTGTAACGGAATGGTGGTAATGCAGTGTAGCATTGGGATCTGAAGAAGGGAACAACAAAAAACATTTTCTGAAAACAAAAGATTTTTGAAATTTGGTATGGAAATAGGAAATTGAGATGAGGGTAGGAATGGGAAACATAGACACTAACCGTTAATGCCTCTTTCATGGTGATGGGGGCGTTTGCAGCCATGGCGCATGAACCAGAGCTTCAGAGAGAGAGAGAGAGAGAGAGAGAGGGATTTGATTGAAAGAGAATGCTGAAGTTCTGAGGAACAACCTGGTTACGCTGCGAATGCGAGATCTGATGCAGTGAAGCCCAAGAGCAGGAGAAAGCGAGAGAGAGAAGAAGGAAAAGAGTGTGGAATCAACAGAACAGAAGAAACTTAGGAGGGTATACTGGGAATTTCAAATAAAATCAAATCCAGCCTGTTAAAAAAGCTTGGGCCTTGAAATTTCTGATCTTTGGGCTAATCTTTTATGGGTATCGAATGCATATAAGAAAGACAAAACTGCGATACTTGAGACCAAAACTTAAAAGTGAAGTGTTTAAGGACATGTACAATTATAAGGATAAAATATATTTTTATCTCCATAAATATGATTACATTTAATTATAATAATCTAAAATATTTTTTTTGGTTTTATTTATCATATATTTAAAATATTTAAAAATAGTCATTATTATTACTTACCGATAATATTGTATGCATTAAGTATATTACATCACATATGATTTTATAATAGTTTTAAACTCAATATAACTAAATTCACGCACATCACTGTTAAGTGATGATTGATAAATCAATATTTACATATTTTAAGTGCTATGTGCTTGACTTATTTGGATTGGATTTGATGTTTAATTATGGTAATTAGACTACATTTTATATTATTATCTTATTGAATTCTTAGGTAAAGTTATGCTTAAGTTTATAATTTTGACACTCATGACCTCTTCTCCTTATTCAAGTTGAAGTTGAAAAAAGAGATTTATGCATTTAAACAAACCTTTTTATAAGCTCTATTTAGTAAAATTAACTGAAAAATTATAATTTATAGTTAATAAGTTGGCTTAAAACTTTTAATTTATAAACGAAAACTTATAAATTTTTTAAGTAGCCGATTGAAGTAAAATTATTTAGTAAAATTATAATTAAATGACAAGAATGGAATTTAAAATTTGTACTTATGTGTAATTTAATTAAAAGGATAAGTCTAAAAATAAAATGATATTATTAAAAGTTATAATGTGGGGCTTAATTGCATTTAAATAAGAATTAAGAGTCAATTAAGCCCAACATAAGATAAGATTAATGTGTTTTACTTCTTTAATAATATTTATATCCTTCGTTTTACTTTTGGTGTTCTCCAGGTTTTGAGTTTCTCTTCCTCAAGAAGATTTAAGAACTTTGATCAATTTATAGGATTAACAATTTTGCATGAAGACCTTAAAATAATGATTCAATTTTCTGATTTACTTATTGATAATTATATTTCCTTTGACCCTTTTAAGAATAAATATTGGATGGCAATCCCAAAAATGTAATTTTGAAGAAATGTGTCTGAAGGGAAAGTACAATAAACAAGGAACGAGGAAGTATATAGGCATAGGAGCTACTATCCTATCATACAACTCCAATCCAACGACCTACATTTTAAATGCATACACAATCACCATCATACAAAATTTTCACGAGAATGATTACCCATAATATGGATTAGAAATTTTAAAAGCACGCAAAACACGAGAAAAATGTATAGGAGAAAACTAAGAAAATTATTATAAAAAAATATGTAAATGATTAGAAATTTTTGATATTGTGTTTATTCTTGGTCAAAATTGATTTTGCTTTTAAACTCGATAAGATGATAAATTATAATTTTTACATTAGAATTTAAAAAGTATAAACTTCAATAATTTAAAAAAATTTCAAATATAAACCACATTACTTTATATTTATTTAAAAAAAAAATCAATCCTATAAAATCAGTTTCGTTCAAACTCAAACTCATTTAAATTCAACTTTTGTAAACAATCATCCAAACAGAAAATCACCCAAATATTTTTAACAGTTGAGAAACAATCTAAAATTTATACATTGATTTTTTAAATTCATTCTTGGGGCTTCTATGATTATATTCACCTTTATTTGTTACGTTTTCATGGACAGAAAAAGTAAGAAGGTTCCACTGAAAGCAACTATTGGATAAGGTTGAATTGTTTCGTCAACTTCACCCGTGCGCCATCTTTCAGAGTGCAGAGGGTAGAACTTTTATAAGATCTATAGCTGAGTGAATGAAAGTGGGGACTAGTCATTAATATATGATATAGAAAGCATACCAAACATTTTGCTAACTCTTGCACTTTTCAGTGTCCAAAACTTCCATTTTGAATTTCTCTTACCTCGCTTTTCAAACATGCAATGTATAAGCAATTATGATTCATGTGCACTTTCACTACAGTTATACTCTAATTCAAAGAAACACATAATAAATGATTTGATCACAGAGGTGAATAACTATGAATCATTATGTTTAAAATTATTGACTGGTATTTTTTTTCAGTGGCTGCTTTATTAATCATTGTGTAAGACAATGATTAAGGAATTAACTACAAAATGGTGTTTTTCGGTGTGTATAAATGGTATCTTTTATCTGACAACTGAAAATTAATCTTCGAATTATATAGAGATCACTGAAATGGATTTTTTTCCTCTTCTAACAAAGTTTTTATTTTAGACACAATATATATTTTTAATGATTTTTTATTTTATTTTGTTTTTGACAAATAACTATTGCCCAAAGAGAATGATTAATAAAATAAAATTTTTCTTCAACAATATTTCGTTGTTATGTGATGCTGAAATCCAATGATTAATTGATATTACAAAAGTAATAAAAGCTTTCATTGTCTAGCTTCCATTATGTACCCAAGAAATAAGTTGATCATGTCCCGAGATTCCATAATATGTTGACTAGTTACTGTCAATCATTTGTGAAAGCTCACGTACCTTATTGTTGGTGAATCATAATTGAACTATGTATGAAATTTCAATACTCTTTTCATTTTCTCCCACAAAGATTGAGATGTTCACGACAAACAAAAGAAAGGGTGAGGATTTAAATTTTACCATATAATAAAATTTAGGCATATAATTGATAGAGGCTATGTCTCAGCCATTAAATGCCTATCTTCATAGGAATGAAAAAAACCGTGAATTGAAATTATTATCAAATAACGTATAACAAGAATAAAGTATGGCATGGATTCGGATCACCTAACATGTGAATTATATGTGAAGTGAGGGAGACAGATATATGAGGTGAATTTTACATGGGTCCACATATTTTTCTCTATCTCGTAAGTGGATCACATCATATTTTGAAGTGCCAATAGATAAACAAACAACTTAGGTAAAAACGAGGGAAAATGGTGTCTGAATATAAAATGGATTAATAAACCGTTGTTCCTTTAGATTTTGGGGTATATTCTAACATGTATGTATATAATATCACATATATTAATTTTTTAATATTTAAATAATAAAATTAAATGATGATCACATCAAAGCATCAAAACAGAACTCTACAATTGGAAAAAAAAGAAAGACTGAAAGTCTTCGTTGTATCTTTTCTGTCATTTAGTTTGGTGGGTTGTTACCATCATACTATGGCCTAATTCAGGTTTGCCATACTTTGTTCTAAATTAGAAAGGAAAAGGTTGCTCTTAGTGGACTTCGATTGTGGAATTCTGCACAGGATCTTCGCCCTCAAACTTTTGTTTGGTTTAAAACTTAGGTCTTTACCATTATTACATGGGAAAAAACATCAAGGAAGATCAGACATTCATTTAGTTCAATGCTCCTAGTTAATTATCTAGATGACCCACTTTGGCTATTTAAGTAGGCGAAAAACTGTTTAGATCATGATTCTTCTTCCATTTCTCCCTTTCCATTATCACCATAAATTTGAGAAGAAAATAATTTCAAATACAAATTACCTACACATTTAATTTGTGAGAGTAATATTACTAGCTGACGTTATCAATACTATTTGACAATAATATTCCATGGCTTTATAATCCGCTAAATGCAAAGTTTTTTTTTTCTCCCTTATAATAATTAATGATGTTCATAATTATATCCTAATGACATTTTAAAAGGAGCGGTTCACTTTTAGAGACTAGAATTCAACTACTTACCAAAAAAATTAAAAAGAAAATCTTAGTTACTTGAAATAGGGAAAGAGATATGTACCAAATCACCAAACTCATGGGTATCTTGTACCAAAAAATACCTATGAAGCACCCAACAATGGAGCCTATCGTTGAATTTCAATTCATGGTTTAAGGTGAGGGAAATTTATACCTGTTATTTAGGACAAAGAAATTATTCTAATGATACATAAGGAAAAAATAAATTTTTTTTTAATAATCATCTGCTTATATCACAATAAATTACTTCAATTTTATTTGAATTCATGTACATGCACTTTAATTATTTTCACACAATCCAGATACCACATGTTCTCTTGATGTGAAAAATACTATTTATAACTACTGTTTGGACAGAAAATAAGAGATTGAAAAAGGCTGTTTACCATTCATTTTGAGGGGTGAGGGGAAGGTGTTAGGTTGGTTAATGAAGTCCACCAAGAGAGATTTAAAGAGCATTGAATGCATTTTGCAACTTCTTTGTACACACACACCACTTGCCTTTCTACTACTTCATCTCTTATACTACACATTCCCTGTATTCTCTAATCTTTCCTTCTATATATTCTGTCTCATCACAATTGGCTTCATCTTTGGTTCTGCACCACTCTCACCTCTCTTTCTTTATCAGCCATGAACCCATCTGAGCAATTTGTGGAACATGGAATATCTCAGCAGGTACAATTTTTCTTATCTTTTTTGTTTCACTCTAAAGTCTAAACTAAGTAACTATTATCACCTTTCCATACTTGCATGGTATCATGTCAACTGTTTCACTCACTGATCTATTTCTACATAGTCATTATTCAGTGAATGTTTTCATGTTTGCCAATGTTCTCTAAATTGTTTTTAAGGTTGTGAACTTCCATGGAAAATTCTGATGCTTTTAGCTAATTGGAGTTTTGTCTGTTGTATTGATAACAAACAATATATTGCTTGTGTTTATAGTGTTCAGCTCATTGCCAAGTTCTGCTTGGGATTTTAAAGGCATTAATGTCCTTTTCATGACGTATTCTTCTAATTATATACTGGCTTTTGGCATTGCATATGAGTCGTATTAACATTACATAGGATCCTCACTTTTCTATTTGTACGTTATGATAAAGCTGATCAAGTTGATGCCATCCAACCCTCATTTGTGACATAGTATACATCCTTGTTTTCCTGAGAGAGTTTCAGCATCTGATTATGATGAACTACTGGTTTTATTAATTTCTTTTCTTCAATTTCCATGTTCGATTAAAGTTGTGTTTTAAATTATGGACAAAGTTGGTCATAACAAGTTTTAGTTAGAGAAAAATCTTAATTATAGCATTTCCCTTTTTAAACTTGAAAAAAGAAATTGAACTGGATGCTGCTTTGACATATGCTCATGATACTTAGAAGTTGATAGAATGCTAATGGTCAAATAATGAAATTGAACCGAAATTTTCTTTACTTTGTCATATGGAATCTGGCTAAGGTTAAATGTGTATTGGATATTGCTAGCTTCTTATGCTTGTATTCCTGTATCAGAATTTAAAGAAGACATCTTGTGCATCTGTGCTCACTCTTGCTTACCAAAGTCTTGGAATAGTTTATGGTGACCTCAGTACTTCTCCTCTGTATGTTTACAAAACCACATTCTCAGGGAAATTGAGACTCAAAGAAGATGATGAAGAAATTTTCGGCGTGCTTTCATTTATCTTCTGGACATTTACTGTTATTGCTCTCTTCAAATACGTTTTCATTGTGATGTCTGCTGATGACAATGGAGAAGGTAAAATCTTGAATCATGATCCTAGTGCTTTTGTGTATGTCTGTCCTGTTCCTCAGGTTTTCATGTTGCCGTAGTCAAGCCAATTATAACTCCATTATTTTCACATTCTTATGAAACCAAAAAGCACAAAACTGCCGAATATTTGTACTTTTCTTCCTTTATCTTTAGTTTCTTGAAATGTAATGATGTCTAACATGATTTATTATTACTTACCAGAATAATATTTCAGGATTATTATACTTGTAACTAACTATCATTGTTTGTTTTATAATATTATCACTGAAATTTAATGTCAATGTAATTCCATTTACGTTAAATATTGAACAGTCTATTAAGTGAGCCACTATTGTCTCTCAATGGTCCAACGAAAGAAAATCTCTTGCTCCTTGAGCATCTAAGAATTTCTCATGTTGATGAGGATAATTAGTATAAGGCTTCGTCTAATAAATTTTCAACTTGTTATGCAGGAGGTACCTTTGCATTATACTCACTTCTCTGCCGGCATGCAAGACTAAGCATTTTGCCTAATCAACAACCCACAGACAAGAAGTTGTCTGCTTATACCACAGAAGATTCTGAAGACACATGGCTGTCTTCACTTTTAAAGTTGTTCTTTGAAAAGCATCCTAGGTTCCAGAAAGGACTGCTGATCTTTGTTCTTCTTGGAACCTGTATGACGATTGGTGATGGTGTGATTACTCCTGCAATATCAGGTAGTTGATCAAGAGCAGCCCCTGAGCTTCTATAGAACACTTGAAGTATGTGATCCATCATTGACTTTGTTATAGTTACATGAATGCATCCCTCAAACAGTAGCTTTAGCTGATTAATAATTGCTAGAATTATTACTTTTTATTAATTTCATCAGATAATAACATGTTTCAGTAAATATTTGTACCATATACAGAAAATATGCTAAGAGCTAATTAATTTGGATAAACTTTTGAATAAGCACGTTTAGGAGAAGGGAATAAAATGAAATGAGGTAAAATGAATCAAGCTTCTCCAATAAGTTAAAATTAGCTTATGTACCTCAGACTTATGGGGAGTTAGATAGGGAGATTCTAAAAAAGTTGAGTTGCATAATTTAATTTTAATTTATAAAAGAACTTTAACTCATTTCATCTCCTTATTTTATTTTATTATCTTTTTATTTAAGTGTTTATTAAGTAGTTTATCCAATTGGCTCTAATTTTGGACATGCATCTCAAACATCAGCCTACAATAGTTGTGCATTTCAAGATGAAGTGTATGATGCAACATAATCTAAGTACTTATTAGCAAGGAAAGGGAAAATTGAAATGCATTGACGTTGTACAGTATTATAATTATTAAGTGTGGTAGAAAAGACAAGTATTATTCTTCTTTCAATGAAGATTTGCTCTGTAAAATGCTAAGGGATTTCTTGCATAAGAACATTATATATTTCAAATGTCATATGTGCAATATTTTAGGTAGTCAGATAGGGAGCTTGTTAATTATTACATAATAATGAGGAAATTGAATGGCACTGGCGAATTCCTTATGGTTGGTTATTGTTAGACAAGTATTTTACCATGGAGGTTTCAAGCCTACGCAAATTTTTGCGGGAAAGGGAGGGAATAATACACTGATACTTAAGGAAATTACAATTCTAATATTTCTAGTGAAAGGAAATTATTCGTGTTACATTTCAAGAGATTTATTCCATATAGCCAGTTCTTGGAATTTTTTTTTAAAATTTAGTTTACTTATTTTGAGATCTTATGAGTTAGTTCAGGAATTTATATCTGTACAAACATTTGTATTTCTTTCTCATTTGGATCTATGAACATCCCTTGTGTCTCCTTTCAGTTTTTTCAGCAGTTTCAGGAGTTCAAGTTAAGATCAAACAACTCCATGACAGTAAGCCCAGGAAGCTTTTTTCATTACCTCAATATCTATTCACAATTTTTGAAACTCCACATTAACTGTGCAGATTATGTTGTTATAATCTCATGCATCATTTTAGTGGCCCTTTTTTCCATTCAACATCATGGGACACACAGAGTTTCTTTCATGTTTGCACCAGTTGTTGCAGCATGGCTTTTGTGTATCAGTGGTATTGGTATATACAACATATTCCATTGGAACCGACAAATATACCGTGCACTTTCTCCACTGTACATGTTGAGGTTCCTCAAAACCACTGGCATAGAAGGATGGATGTCATTAGGTGGAGTAGTTCTTTCAATCACAGGTACCTATAATATAATCAATTTGTTAGTAGCTACAGAGTTGTGAAATAATTATCCTCTATGATACTATCTCAGGGGTGGAGGCAATGTATGCTGACTTGGGCCATTTTTCTGCACTCTCAATAAAGGTAAATAGAGTAATTAACTAAGGGAGTGTTTGGGTAAACAGTTTAATTAAACGCTTATTCAATAAGCTCTTTTCACATGAGGACTTATGACATAAATTTCATCATGAAACTTATTGGAATAGGTTGAAAAAAAGCTTATTTTGATAAGTTATATCAAGAAACTTGTTGAAATAATCAGCTATATTCATAAGTTTTTCCATATGCTTCCTAAGTTGATCCTAATATGCTAGTTTACCATACCAAAATGAGATATGCTTTAACAGTTGCCCTTAAATCTCAGATAGCTTTCACATGTCTAGTATATCCCTGCCTGATTTTGGCATATATGGGTGAGGCTGCATTTCTCTCCAAGCACCATCATGACATTCAGGGCAGTTTCTACAAAGCCATACCAGGCAAGAAATTATTTCAAGAAACCACAAACTGTCAATGTTATTTATGGTATCTCAGTGTAATTGTGCTACTATTTTCTGCAGAGACTGTATTTTGGCCAGTTTTCATAGTTGCCACTTTTGCTGCCATTGTTGGAAGTCAAGCAGTAATTTCTGCTACCTTTTCCATCATAAGCCAGTGTTGTGCACTACATTGTTTTCCTCCAGTTAAGATTGTTCATACTTCAAGTAGAATATATGGGCAGATTTATGTACCAGAAGTCAATTGGATATTAATGTGCCTTTGTTTATCTGTCACAATTGGCTTAAGAGACACAAACATGATGGGTCATGCATATGGTATGCTTCTTTTCCACTATATTTACTTCTGATATTTGAGGTATTGACAAATAAACTTCAACTTTTTTGGCTTGGTCTGTAGGGCTGGCTACCACCACTGTTATGTTTGTGACAACATGCTTGATGACACTAGTAATTGTGATTGTCTGGAAGAAAGGAATAATAAAAGCCATTATATGTTTGCTATTGTTTGGATCAATTGAACTGCTTTACATCTCAGCTTCTATCTGCAAAGTCCCTGAAGGAGGATGGATCCCACTTGTGCTATCTTTTATGTTTATGGGTATAATGTTTACTTGGAACTATGGAACAATGAAGAAACATGAATTTGATGTGGAAAACAAGGTCTCAATGAGCAAGATACTATCCTTGGGACCTTGCTTAGGCATGGTCCGTGTCCCCGGTATAGGAATCATTTTCAGTAATCTGGCTTCAGGTGTCCCAGCTATTTTTGGCCATTTTGTCACAAATTTGCCAGCATTTCATCAGGTGTTGGTTTTTGTATGTGCCAAATCTGTTCAAGTCCCTTATGTCAGCGACAATGAACGGTTGATCATAAGCAGGATTGGCCCCAAGGAGTACCGCATGTTTTGTTGCATTGTCAGATATGGTTACAAGGATCTTCAACAGGAGAACTACAATTTTGAGAATAATTTGGTATCTGCAATAGTACAATTTGTAGAAATACAGGAGAGTGTTCCAGAACCAGCACAACAAGAGTTGTCTATGGATGATGGAAACATGAATGTGGAACACCTTGATGTTTCACAACACACTTTGAATAGCTCATGTTTTTCATGTGCTTTAAGGTTGAAGAATGGTGATGACCAACCTCAAGAGTCTCCATGTAAAAATGAATCTTTGGAGATTTTAAAAGCTAAAGAATCTGGTGTTACATATATACTTGGCCATTCATATGCAGAGGCAAAGAAATCATCTTCAATTTTCAAGAAATTTGCCATAGATATTGTTTATGCTTTTCTAAGCAAAAATTGTAGAGACCCTGATGTTGTAATGAACGTAGCTCACATCTCGTTGCTAGAAGTTGGTATGGTTTACCATGTCTAAATCTAACTTTTCAGTGGTGTTTGCATATAAAGGAATAGTGAGTTTGTACATGATTTAAAACATTGACAATGACTTCTACAAGCCAGTGCTCTAGATCAATCGGTTGTAGATTTTTCATCATTGATTTCTAGGTGTTCATGATTCTGTATCTAAGAATGTAATTCAAAAATTTGTTTCATACAAAAAGAGTAGAATATACACTGGTACATATTTGTTTGTAAAAATATTTCTCGTTCTGCATTCTTAATACAAGTTCTGTAAAAGAAAAAACAACTACACACTTCAGGTTTTGACAATCCTTTTTGAAATTTTATGTTAGTGCCTGTTACACGTTCCAAAGTCAACTTCTTAAAAAACAATAACTGAAATGAAAACTACACACTTTACGAGATGCAATGGGCTATAAAACTTTTTTTTTTCAATTTAACACCAATCAATTCTCTGTCCTAACCGATAAGGCCCTTAGTTTTCAAATAAAAATTAGTAATTGAGTTTTAAATTTAGTTCATATGCATTGCCAAACAAAAAATTTATAATGTTATTAAAAATGTATATTACATTATACACAAAACCAGGATTTTTTGCAGGTTAGAAAACTGCATAAATAATCATTAAAATTTTGATTTTTATATCATCAATACATTAAAATATCAAAAACTCTATACCGTTGGATTTGACTTGCACTACACAAGAGACGTTTAGCTAAAACTAAGTGCGCTTTATGGAATTGTCGCCTAAAAAGATGTGCCAATTGCCATAAAAGAAATCCTTCGATGATTGACAGTGGATAGCTGCAGTGAATAAGGGTATGTTTGGATCATTTTACATGGTCAAAATATTCTGTTGATCATTCATGGGAAAAATTAAGAAAAAAAAAAAGTAAAATAATTCCTTATATAATGTAATAATTACAAATTAGTGCTTATACTAGCCTTCACATTACATTGTTGTCTGCCATTTTTTTTAGCTTCTGCTTAAGCAGCACAAGCTGGTTTTGCAGTGTAAAATTTTCACCACCGTCGCCACCTCGACCTGTTTCCACCATTGCGTAGCTGAACAAGCCACCTTGTCAAAGCCACCACAACATTCCTTCTTTTGCATGCCACATAGTTGAGAAGGACTCATAATTTAATTACTATAAAATTAAGGATTTATTATTAATTTTTAACAGCATCATTTATTTTTTAAAATACTAAAATTGATGGATAAAAATAAATGAATCATAGGTAGTGCAAATATTTCACAGGGCACCTTAAAATTTTCAGCAAATAATATAAAACTAAACTTCACAATTTTTAAGATGTCTTATGACGTGGTTTTTATATAGCAAAAAATTTTCACTTTAGCTAAGCAAAATTTTCACTTTATTATTAATTAATTTGATATAAGTTTTTTTTTATTTTAACGTAAATTCATTTTAATAAATTCAATTTGTCTGAAAACGAAGATATCCTTTGAAAACAATGTCTCTATTCACAAGTACGGACAGTTACACAGTTGGATAAGGATTTTTCATACACATAATATAACAAACTCTGCCCACAAAACCTTGTATTCTGTTTCGGTTGCTGCCACTGCTACTACAAAAAAATTACTGTCACAACTCTGAAGAAAAAATGGGGCCAAGTAGCGAAGAAGAGCGTGATGGCTTTAATCAAACGCCGCTACAAATCCCTGGATTGCTCTATGTATCGGTGAAGATGGAGAACCCCAACCTCACTCTCGTTGGGGACCTTCTCCCTCACGTATCTGGCTCTTACCCTCTCGCCCCTTCGCGGGATCCTTCCGAAGCTGTAATTTTGATTCATACCCACTTCACTATTTCATTTCTATTCTTCTGGGTCTCTCTTACTTTCTTCTTCTTGTTGTTTTGGTGCAAAAATTACAGCTTTCAATGGAACGGGAATCAGCTTCAATGTGGGAGTTGAGCTTTGTTGTTCCACCTAATCATGGTAATGCTTTCTCGGTTGCTTTGCCTTTTAAGTTGAATTGTAAAATTTATGTAAAGTAGAGGGGATTAAAAGTTGATAAAAGGAAAATGCAAAGTTTTACTATGACCATTGAGTGATAGTTCTATTGGGTTTACCGCTACCTGAGATTCTGGTATTAAGGTTTCTTGGAGTTTGGTAATAGTGGAAGGGGTGTCTATAATATGTTTCTAACTTGAAGTGTGGGTTTTGTTTGGGATTTTCAGAGGCTTTGGAGTTCAAATTCCTTTTAAAGCCCAAGGACATTAATTCACCTTGTTTTGTTGAGGAGGGTCCGAGTCGAATACTTGTTGGGGGAGCATTGCAAGATGGTGCCAGGCTTGCTTTGTTTAGGCTTGATAATGATCGAGTTCTTGAGTATCGAGTGTTTGTTGAAGCAAGAAGGGTTTCTCCCTTTGACCTTGCAGTTAGTTGGAGGGTTTATCAGGAGCATTTCCGTCTTTCGGCAGTTCGTGGGATACCTGATGTCAGCATAAATTCAGAACTTCAGACTGGTGGTGAGGTAAGACTCTTTAACTACTGGTTTTCTTAATGTTTGCTTTTCTTCTTGGAAGATGTGGTTGTGGTGCATGGCATTATCTTTATTTTGAAATTCGGGTGCTAACTTAAAAAAATCAGACAGCATTATTCCGATTAATTTATCCTCTTGCGATGCACAATGAATAAATTTCTCCCTTAGTTGTGAGGGAACTGGTCAGGACTCAGGATTTTTCTCTAATGCCTGGTAGTGTAGGTTGTTCTGTATTACTTTTGTAATGTGACAGTGCAAAATGTTTATTGTCAAGAGTCAAGTAATCACTCAGGAAAAACCAAATAATTTCTTGTTGAAGTTCTTGTATGTATCTTACATTACCATACCATGTTCCACAACTTGTTCAATCATGTATCTGAACTGATGGCCTTGATATGCTCCTTTCTTTGTCTAAAACAATTACTACGTACCTCATGCTTTTTTTTTTTCATATTAATATGCAGAATGTCTCTTCTGTGGGCTTGGAACTTGATCTCGAGCATTATGTTGTCCCAACTCCCTCAGTTTCTGCAAATTCAGCACTTGTATATGCTGCTAACTTGACAGAGAATCCCAGATCATTAAGTAGTGGGTCTGCCAGCATTTCATCTTTAATTGATCAATCTGCAACAGTAAAGGTTTAAATTTCAAAATCATATTTCAGATTGACAATTATACATTCTAAAAATGATAGTTAAAAAACATGTAAAATCAATCTAGAGATGTTTGGTCATCATTTTGATTAAATGCTGCATAAGTCTTTTTACCAGAAGCTGAGAAGGATCTGTAGTTGTATTTACCTTAAAAGACTTCAATTGGTTGAGGAAGTAGATTCTATTGTTTAACATATCAGCTTCGAGACATCTATCTGTACTTCTAAAGTGTGACACTGATTAGTATGTTGAAGCTTTTTCCTCTCTATCTCTGTTTTCCTTTTTATAAGTAAAGCTTTGTTATAAGTGTTGGAAAGTATCACCAATTTAGAAAAATATCTTCTATTTTGGGGCTGTATATTTGTTGCTAATAGTTAGGCTTTGATTTGTATATTTTCTTAATTGTTTTCATGCATTGCTAGTTTCATGAAATTAGGAATTGTAAATCATGTTATAACTAACAAGGAGCTGTACAAATGGTGTTTAAAATGCAAAATGCCACTTCTTGAGGTTATGAGAAGAAAAACCCAAAGTAAGCTAATGGTTTATATGGATTCTTGATTATGCAATATATCACATCCAATAGGCTATGTTGATGTTCCAACTAGGTGAGGGAGGTTAATGCCCCAGATTCATCTAAGATGTTTCAATTCCAAAGTCCTGGAATGGTTAAATCTCAATCAGTGGGAACAATTTCATCTCTGCCAAAGGAAGATGATCAGAGGGGACTTCTTGTTGATAGGGGTGTTGGATCTCCCAGAATTGTAAAATCTTCTAGTTCAAACACTTTCACTAATCTTAATTTGGATACTAATACTGAGGTTTGTATTAACAATTTCTTTCTTTTTTGTTTATTATTCAAATTTATTTCCACTGGATTAATTTATATTGCATCAAACTTTTCAATTGAGGTTACTAACAAATAGTTGCTTCTGCTCCCTCGTGATTTTATGGTAGAATTCAATTCCAGCAGCTGCTGGAGCTGTTGCAGCTGCTGCAATTGCTGATCAGATGCTAGGTCCCAAGGAGGATAGACATTTGGCTATTGTCATGGTATTATTCTTACTTGAGGAATAATTTGCTCAAACTTTTTTTAACAACACTTTATTATCACTTTGTTTTGGGCTTTGACTTGGAGTTTTGATTGAGATTCAAAATGAAACTATTGTCTTGAGAAGTTAAAATTTGGAAATACCTTAAAAAAAAAGCCACATAGCCATCATAGTTCATCTTAGTAAATTAGAATATTTGAAATGAATCATTTCTTACTAGTTTCTTTCACCTAGGTGAGTCTGCCAGCTCGAGGCAAAACTTACACTGCAGCTAAACTTACAAGATATCTTCGTTGGTTAGGTCATAATACCAAACACTTCAATGTTGGTAAGGTTGTTCACATTCTTGACTCATTCTTCTTTATGATCAATAGTCTTCTTCAAATTCTTGACTTATTTTTCTTTGTGATCAATATTGAGTCACTATTCTTTGCAATCAATATGTCAAGTATGAAGTTAACACGCTTGCATTTCAATGTTGCAGTATCGTCGCCTTAAGCATGGTTCTAGTCAGGTAAACATAATGTAGAAGACTCCATTGAATAGTTTGTGCTTTTTTATCTACATTCTGTAGACTATAAAATGATAGAATAGTTGTCATCAGTGTATAATATTTTGGGTATTTTTGTTATCAATGTCTGTTAGATATATCCCTTATTGCTTGATGCTTGTATGTACAGTTTGTCATAAGAATTGATCTAATATGGTTCATATTAGTGTAGACTGTAGAGGATTTGGTAGGTTAAAATGATACTTGTATCGAAGAATTCTTTATCTAGAGATTGTTATTTTTCCTAAGTTCAATAAGAGACATCTATTGATAGATAATATTTCTGAGAGTATGGTCTTTGACCAAGCTCAATGGCTGTCTTGTGATTTATATAGCTGACCTCCCTTAGTGGGATAAGACTTGATTATTGTTTTTGTCAATAAGTGACATCTAGGAACTGATTCTCAGTTGACTATGATGATTCAATAAGGATTCTTGTTCAAAAACAAACAAGAAAGCAGTTGGTTAAGTTCAATGAGTGACATCCAGGGATTGATTCTTTGTGATTGTGTCTTCTCAACAACAGTTACACAAATCCACACCTTGAACGCACCCTGTTCTTGACTGCAAAATTTGATACAATTTATATATAATTGATATGGAGCTTTGATTTTACACTGTTAGCATCCAAGAGTAATAACCTTGTACAGGACATTGATTTTAACATTTTATCATCAAACAGAATACTATGGAAGCTTACAAATTTAGTGCCTAAATGCGTTCACGTCATACTCTTCTAACAAATATTATCTGAAGGGCGGAAAAATACTGATTTGAAATGCCAGGATATTCACACTGAAGACAGGCCCAACAGTTGTTAATGCTCTGTGAAATTTAGATTGATGTTAGATATGTTGCTGGTTTGATGACCTTCTTATGCTTTAAGGACAATGGTTGAAATTATGAGCATGATCTGAAAGCTTGGGGTCTTTTGGTGATCTCTCTACCTCTTTATAATGGCAGAAAATGGAATGTGGCTTCCTCAATAATTTAATTTGAAAGGTACTCATGAGGATTCACAGATCAGCCACTTGGCCTAAACGCTCAAGCTACCCAGTTTTGACCAAAAAGTTTTTATAATTTCAATGCATTCCTTCAAATTAATGCCCATTGGGCTTTAAATGTGAAGAACATCAAATGAATTGATTGGCAGAATATTGGTTATTATGAGCAGAATATTTTGCCATTTAAACTAACAGATCCTGTATGATTGTATAGCTGTAATTATGAAATTATCTTATTAATTGGGATAGCTCAAATAGGGATGATTAGCTGTAATTATGTTATTATCTTCATAATTAGATAGCATTTATATCAATTTAGCTATTTTTTGGGGCTGAATAACAGATTTTATTACCTATTTATGTGAAAATTCTCCAGCAGGAGAACACAATTTTGACTTTTGACCTACCTTTTTCAGAGTTTGGCATGGTATCAGAGTGGCTTGTGATCCTATTCTAGCTTTGCCCAAAATCCCTAGCCTCTTCTTGTCAATTGGGCAGGAAATGTGAAGAAAGCATACAGTTACTGTTCCTTTTGCTAAAATGAAAACTACCACTCACTGAATAGTAAAAAGATGGGGGAGGTAGTTAGTATCCAACTATATTTCAGTCAAAAAGTACTGGGGCATTATTCTAAAAATAAATTTGTTGAATCTAACATCACCAGTGCTTTAATACAATCTCTCATACTGTGCAAAGTCATCACATTTAAATTACACTGCATCATGTGATCACTATGGACTCTTGATTCCCTGTTTTATGAGTTTTATTCTTGGAATCATGATGTTACAGTACTGTCGTGTTCAGTAGTGGAGCTAGAGGAAAAAAAATTTGGTATTTTTGGCAGGCCAGGTTGGAGAAATAAAATTTAATAGATAGATATACTACCGCTGGTCATGCTTTCTTGGAAAATTTTCAACCCATGTCATATTCTTCTATGCAGTCTGCTGACTTCTTTCGAGCTGATAATCCTGAAGGTGTGGAGGCACGTAATGAGGTAACTTCTGGCCAATAAATTTTTTTATTTGAATATGTGAGAGTAAAAATATATTGGTTGTGCGTACTTAGGTCATAGACTTTCATTAGTTAGATTTGTGAAGATGTTGCTTCTAGACTTGATATAATCTTTTACATTCAACTAATTTATATTTTGAGGCTTCACTTTTAACATATCTTTTTGTTTAGTCACCAATAATTCACATGCGGTAAAATTATTTTATGGCTAATCTGGTAGTGTAGGAGAATAAATATTGTCAGGAACTAGTTCATTTATGAATTCCATAGTCTTTCAAGAAGACCTTAGTTACTGTTTTGGTGAGTATTACACAGCAGTGTTTCTTGAATAAAAATTATAATGCCCATGGAGAGGAGAGAGAACAAAGAGAAGAATATGCTTAAAACTTTGTCTCAACTCAACTACACCATGGACTAATATCTTGTATGTTATACAACAACAACAACAACAATAACAAAGCCTTATTCCACTAGGTAAAGTCGGCTAATAGCTTGCATGTAATGAATATAATAATTCAAATATTGCAATTACTATATATGTGTAATACACTGAACATAGACACTTATTGAATGTTTAAGATATGTACATTGAACCTAGCAATTTATTGTGGATGATTCTGATAATGTAACTCTATGTTGACCTTTCTCTGTGTACATAGTTTTTAATATATCATGTACCACTAGGTAGCAAAGCTGGCATTTGAAGATATGATATCTTGGATGCAAGAAGGTGGCCAGGTAAATTCATTCTTGTTATATAACTTCTTTTTATGGCTTCTTTCAAGTACTTTCGCTTAAGCTTTAATTTGGATTTAGGTTGGGATATTTGATGCCACAAACAGTAGCAAGAAGCGACGAAACATGCTGATGAAACTGGCTGAAGGTAGATGCAAGGTACTGTAGTTACTGTCTTGCAGATGGGTAACTGTAATGTACTTATGTATGACATAAAAATGATATTTTTAATTCTAAACTCTTCTGATGTGTCTTTGCATTGTTATTACAGATTATCTTTCTGGAAACAATATGCAATGATGCAGACATAATTGAGAGGAATATACGTTTTAAAATTCAGCAAAGTCCTGACTATGCAGAAGAGTAATGTTTCCTTTAAACCAGTGATATCTTATCTTGAAGACAATGTAGATACCTATGAAATTAGCTTTTCTTTTGCAGACCAGATTTTGAGGCTGGGTTGCGGGACTTTAAAGAGCGCGTAGCCAATTATGAGAAGGCAAGTCTTTCATATGGAGTTTTAATGGCTATTCTTGGTGACTTTTTGCTTTAAATACTGTTGATTTCATATTACCAGGTTTATGAGACGGTAGAAGAAGGATCTTACATAAAAATGATTGACATGGCCAGTGGATGTGGTGGGCAAATACAAGTAAGTTCTACCTTTAATCATGTCATTTTTATGTGCCAAGCAGAAACTTCTACTTGAATCATTGTCTGGTTAGCTAGCATTGCAAGTTTGATATACATGTTTATTGTCCATGTACTAGCAGTTGTTTGGGTTTGTAAAAATTTTAAATGATTCTTATAGTTAAATTAGATTTCAAACTTTGGTGTGGGAAACTTAAATGGCATGATTTCACTTTCATGGTTCACTGTAAGCATAGAGTTGAAAGTGTGTTCATTCTGCAAAGGATCAGTTTTAGAAAGGCATATTACTACCATAAGAAAGCATTATGTTTATACAGATCACTTACCAGTATCCAAACTATAAAACATAGTATGAAACAGACAAGTTAGAAAGACTCATTATTCAGCTCTAAACTTAGTTGGGTGACAAACTATGATCAGAATCAGACTGACAGAGTTAAGCACTAAGATATGAACCAAACCCTGGGCCTCATGGTTGACCACATGATACCATGTCAACAAACCACTCAATCTAAAAGTTATGCCATGCATCAAGGTATGTATTTATATATATAAGCTGTATTGTGAATAGAATTATACCATGAGTTCATATTACTTGGTTGGAACTTGAAAGAATGACAGAAAGTTTGCATAGCCATATAGTTTATGATAAGTTATGTACAAATAATGTCTTTCGTTGTTTAAGGCTAAGTACAGATGATGTTAAAATAATTTCGTTGTTTGAAAATTTTTGTAGGGAGGCTGCTTTGATAAGCTGGAATTTCTTGTTGCAAATATTTGTGCATCTCCTTGAATTTTTCTCTAGTCATTTAGAAATGTGGTCTTCAGCATGACTTTAATTTGTAAATGATTCATAGCTTCTATCTTTTGGTTTAGGTAAACAATATCAGTGGCTACCTACCTGGTCGGATTGTCTTTTTCTTGGTAAGTTTCTTTGAAGAATGCAGTTAATTACAGTTAAAACTTCACAGACACACAGGCAAGAAAACCTAATGATTAATTTAATTAATAATATGTAACCCAGTAAGACAGTATTGATAAATGTCGTGGACCAACCATTCAAAAAGCTTAAGTATTAAATTAAAGCACGAGTGGTTTTGTATTTATTTATTTGGTTGATGAAATGGTTTTGTATTTATAACACACCTCCTCACATGAGCTCTTTGCTCTTGAAGTATAGATAGTGCACAGGCCTACCTACCCTGTGCTGAAATTCAACATTTTGTAAAATATGGATTGAAGGGGGTGCGAAAAAGATTGAACTCTAGATCACTTGGTCATTGACTCTAGCCTCGAGTCATGGACCAACTATCTGAAAAGACAGAAGGTTTTTGTATCTCTAACAAGAAAAACAGTGGAAATTTGCTGTGAGTTTTTGGTCATTAGTTTGTGGAGCAATGGGCCTTTCAAAGTTTCCCTCGAGTATTTATCTCTCTGATGACAAAGTTAGTCAAGCATTCCATGTTGGATACAACATAAACTTTTCATATGGAAAATTTGATGGAGTTATAATTGAGAAAAAATTATATTTAAATAATTGAAATTGTAAATGATTCATTTAGAACAAATATAACTTAAAGGACAAAATAGAAGTTGACAATTAAATTAAGTGGGGAAAAGTTCACTTCATCGTTGGTGAAGTTTTCCACCTTAAACCACATAAGCAAGTTCAGTTAGTGGATTTTTGGGAGTCTGGTGAAGGAAAACGATTGATGACATTTTGATATGAAAAAGGCAAAGTTAAAACAAATAAATGAAATTTGAAAATAAGCTAAGGGTCACAAGTGTTGTTTTCCTTGCCTTCCTGGGATAATGGTTTTTGTTAGAAGATTAATGATATGATTTCAGCAGATTTTATGTCATATCAATTATAAGTTTCTTGGAATAATTTGTTATAATCTTGTAGGTTAATACACATCTTACACCAAGGCCAATATTACTTACCCGGCATGGAGAAAGTCAGGATAATGTGAGGGGAAGAATTGGAGGAGACTCTGCATTGAGGTATAATTTCATATTTGGCTGCTGTCTCTATTCAATGTAATGTTAATAACTTGATATTGATAAGGACATAAGCTGACATATGGTAATTGTGTGAATAATTCCTGTAGTTGTTTCTCTTATAAGAGGAACTGCTAGAATATTAAGAATTTAAATTATTCTTGTGTTATGAATCTTATTATGATGAGACTAAAGCGTGTTATTGGCTGTAGTTGTACTACACTTGTACTTGATCTAGAATATTAGTTTAAAGAAGAGTATTAAGTTAATTTTTTATTTCACATCACAATTATTGAGTCATATTAGTGAATTTTCCCTCTTTTTTCCTTACCATTAAATCCAAAAAATCATGGCAGGAACCTTCATATCCCCTTAGTTTTTTGTTCCAAGCCTCAAATGTAGAAATTACTTTTGATCTCCTTCCATTTGGTGGATTTTCTAGGAAGCCAAAATTGGGCTATGTTATTGCTCATTAGCCACTGGTGGATCAGGTTATCTTAAAGATGGGCCTGATTGTTCTTGGTAACTTCCTTTAAGTATTGTGTAAGTCAGGTCACAATGTTTATCTCAGTAGGAGGCTTCAAGTTACTGTTTGTGCCCAGAACGACCCATTTTTGAAGGAAGATGAAGGCTTGTTTTAAAACTAAACAGGTTCTATTTATTGAATAAGCTCTTCTGCTATATTTTTTTCAACAGCTCATCTAGAAAAATTCCAACATGGTAAGGCCCTTTAGAAGTCTACAACAGATCTAAGGACAAGCCCATTATTCCAACATGATGCAAGACTTCATATAAAATTGATTCCAAACATCACTTTTACAAGAGAAATGGTGACATAGTTTTAGTTCATGTTCCTTTGAATTATTTTTTATAAGATGTCTTACATTGGTTAGGAATATAGCTATAACACTTCAAATAAAACTTGGACAATCCTCATCTCACAAACTAACTTTTAGAAGTGAATTTGGTCTATTTCTTATATAATATTATAGTTTATTATTGATCTAACACAGGGTCAACCTCAATTGTCAAAAAAGGAAGAAAAAAAAAAATCAAACCTGGCCTCGTAGATTTCCCAGTGCAATTAACCTGGGTCCAAGGATTTCTCAATGCAATATTCTGGCCTCACATCTCATTGCAATCTACCTGATCCGTTGAGTTATTTATGAAAAGATGTTTTACATCAACTAGGAATATGACCATAATACTTCTAATAAAACTTGTACAATTCATTTCATAAACAAACTTTTGAAAGTAATTTGGTCTATTTTTAATATAATTATAACATCAGAGTTTATTATAGATCTAACATAGGGCCAACCTCAATTGTCAAAAAAATATATATCTATATATCAATCCTGGTGTCACAGATTTTACAGTACAATTAACCTGGGTCCACAGGTTTCTCTATGCAATATACTGGCCTCAGTTGGAGTTAAGTTAGGTCAACTCCAAATTCACCGATGGTATAAAGTCTATTTAATCTTAATGTTAGATCATCCGTAGATGTTCAGACTTGTAAATTTCACAAACCAAATGTACTGTCTTGACCATGAGGAGAGTGTTAAGATGTTTCCCATCAACTACAAATATAGTCAGAATACTGTTTGTAGGGCTACAGCACTCCTCTCTTGAGCTAATATTTGGGAGTGAGTGAGGTTTGTTTCCAATAATTTATTTCTTGCCCTCTTTTTCAAATGTGATATTTGGCATTTTTAACAAAAATTGTTATGAATTTTCAACTAACTAACTGGAATACAATGCAATTTGTTTCGACAGTGAGGCTGGAGAAATTTATAAAAAGAAGCTTGCCAAATTTGTTGAGAAGCGTCTCAAGTTAGAACGAGCTGCTTGTGTAAGATTTTTTAATTGTATGGATTCAATTTCTGCCATTTCCCTTGGAACCAGTCCAATGTGTTATGTTCCTTTTAGCAATATTCTTTTGTTTGCTATAGTTACATAGCATTTATGTTGTACGGTGATCTAGTATCAATGATAAATATTTTATATATCACTTTATCATGATGTAAACTGTTAGTTATATGTTAGTTGGTGATTGACATTGTTCTGTCAGCAACTTCTTGTTGGCACGGGTTGAATATTTGTGTTAGGGACAATAGTGGGGATGATAGATTCTGAATTGTAGGCTTGATATTGAACGTCAAGTGGACGGTAATCGTTATACTGTTGCCATGGGAATATTCTTTTTGGGGCCTCTTTTAAGAAAGGCTATCCAATAAAGAAATATTTAGGATATCAGTCCAGAAAAATAGCAGTATGGGTAGGTTTAGGAAGATTTGAAAAGAAGAGAAATCATAGGTTCCTCCGTTCAAGTAATTAACAAGTTTCTTTTTTTAAACAAAAGAAAAAAAAGATATGTGTAGTGATGCTTAAATTCATTAAGAATGGTGTGAAAAGGAGGTCAAGGCATTTGATTATTATTCATATCCAAATTTGAATCTGGGTATCTCCATAAATAAGCAGACACACTATCAACCAAGTAAGCCTTTTTGGAAAGCAATGGAACATGAAATACAATGTAGCATTCTATATTAGAGTCTGTTTGACAAATTTTCTATTTCCATTTCTCGTTTTCACAAATAGTTACAAAATGTGACCTACTTTTACTTTATGCTTTTGTTTTCAAATAGTTGTATGGAAAATAGTAAAAAACAGAATTTTGTTGTTGTCATCATTTCCAATATAAATATTTGAAAATAGGAAACAAATTGAAAACAAAGTAACATTTTTATAATCATTTATGATGATAGGAAATGAAAACAGAGAATGTTTTTTCAAGCCAAACAGGTCCCTTAGCTTTTCATGAGTTTGCATACCTTACACTACCAAAAGAAGTTATATCAGTTTAATGCTGAATGTTCTAATATCAACTAAATGCATGTATAAAAATATGTTCAAATACTGAAATGCTGAATGGCTTGTGATTGTAATTGGTTTCTAGATATGGACTAGTACACTGCAGCGAACAATTTTGACAGCAGGTCCAATTGTTGGATTTCCAAAGGTTAGTCTCATTCTTAAGTCGGGATATGGATTAACTAAATTATACATTATTAGTGCTTGTGCACTTACTATCTTTATATGTTAGATACAATGGCGTGCGCTTGATGAGATAAACGCTGGTGTGTGTGATGGGATGACATATGAAGAAATCAAGAAGAACATGCCAGAGGAGTATGAGTATGTCACAAACTTGACATCCAACTAACATGGAAGCGCTTGGCAGGGGCACAATGCTGTTCAAAAATGTTTTTATGTACCTATTGTTATTTTGTTTTATTTTGCTTTTCCTACTGCAGATCCCGCAATAAGGACAAGCTTAGGTATCGTTATCCTCGTGGAGAGTCTTACTTGGATGTTATTCAAAGGTTGATGCAATACTTTTAACATTGTTCAGCTCCTACCTACTAGTTTTGTGTAACTAACTTGAATTTTAATAATACTGCAGGTTAGAACCTGTAATTATTGAGCTTGAGCGACAACGAGCACCTGTTGTTGTGATATCTCACCAGGTTTTACATAAAATTTGCTAATGTAAATTTTCACTTGTATAGGTTCTATGATTGAATGATTTTACTTCTTGAGTTTCTTCAATGCTTCTCATTGCAGGCAGTTTTGAGGGCATTATATGCTTATTTTACTGACAGGCCTTTGAAAGAAATTTCAGATATTGAGGTAATATAGTCATATTTAGCTGAATGTGATGTGTTTACTTTTGTATGGAAGATGGAGTTAATGCAAAAGCCTGGTTGAGTTCGTGGCAAATATTTAAGAATTGAATTTTAGTTACTGTGGTGTTAGGAAAAAGAAAAATTGTATGAGGTTTACCACCTTATTTTGAGAAACATTTTAGTGTGAACCATGAATTTGTACAAGATAGCTAATGTGAGTTTTGCTCATTTACAGGTACCCCTCCATACAATAATAGAAATACACTTGGGAGTTACAGGAGTCGAAGAGAAAAGATACAAACTGATGGACTGAAAGGTGAAGAGAAATTAAAGGGGAAGGATATATTTTTTAAGTTAACTTCATCAAAAATTTTGGCTTATGAGAAAAAATGACATTATCTTGTAAGTTGTAATTTCTAAAACCTCTTTTATTCATTTGCATAATAAGAATTCTTTAGTTTCCAATATTTGAAGAATTTTGAAAATCAAAACAAAAAGGATACAACTTATTACTCAACTTCCCATCATCTTTACTTTGCATGATGTTTGGATGCATTTTGATTTTGCGAATCTACTGCATGCTTTGAAAGGTAGAAATTATTAATATTGGGTTCTGGAATATAATAAATTTTCACCATTGACGAGAATTTAAAGAAGAGTCACTTTTGACCAACATTTCCAGCTGAAAATATGGAAAAAGAAGTTGGTCTGACCTGAAAGATAGCAGGGTTCTGGTCTCAGCATTTGCAGACCAAGTAAAGACTAAAGAAAACCACAACTAAAATTTTTATTTTTATCTTTAAATTTCTGAGTGACACTTCTCTGTATAAAACTTTAAACAGCCACTTCAATTATGTACATGGGTCATTAACTTTTTACAAATGTCAAATTTATTGATAAATCGCAGAGTGATCCAGTAACAGAAAAAAATGAAATATTCATATTAAAAAGAAAAAGTAGAACATGCCTAATGTTTTCCATCTCCATAAAACCTGTGTGAAATATGGTCAGTGTATTGGAAGAGGTCCTTTTGCCATTAAGAAATTGTTTTTATACAGTTTTTTTTTAATATAAACATATATAACAAAGAGACAATTAAATCTTATCTCAATAGATAAGATGATAATAAAATGCTGAACAATTGATGTGATGTAAAAATGAAAGGAAAAAGATATCATAAATAATTTTTTAATGTGAATTTAAACATACAATAAAATATTATCAAGTAATTTTTTTTATTAAAAGTTGTAATATTAATCTTATCAACACATTAGAGTTTGTCATATAACGTAACTTTTAATAAAAAGTTATTATATATAAATTTTTATTACGTGATCATGTGTATACATTAAAAAATTGTATATCCTGTAACTAATATAATTTTTCGTCATTCAATTTCTCTTTATTTACGTTATATAATGTGACACCATCCTGGCTACAACAGAATTCACTCACCTATACTATAAGCCATGCCCACTTTAAAAAACTAAAAGGGGTTTGATCCATCGCCGGAAACATGCAACAAAATATGGTGGAATATAGGCAAAAAAATCTACTACTTCTATAAACAGTTGACAAGTGTCCATAATGTAGGGTGGCCTTAAAGAAAGCCCCTATAGTGTATGGCTCCATTCACATGGGACCCCTGAATTCTCATTGATCTCTTTAAAACAGCAATTAGGGGTCCCACACTGTACCCCACCAAGCCTAAAAAATACAACGCCCCCTCTAATATTGACAGAGTTTAAATAAATGCATCAAAGCCCCTTAAAAATATAATGAGTAACGTGAAAGGGAAGAAATTGTGGAGGAATGCCACCCTTTTCATGATTGACTTCGGCTTTGGTGCAAATTGCGAGAACTAAGAATATCTTATTTTATGTATCGGTCATAACTCACAAGGTCTTTGCCTTAGGATCTTTTCCCCAATTGCACTAAATTGAACTACTTAAAACCACAAATAAATAAGTAAAAACCTTCCACATAAATCCAATAAAACCCACCTACCCTCCACTGCCATTGCCTTCACGAGTGCTTCATTTGTGCTGCCCCCCCCCCCCCCCCCCCCCCCCCCCCCTCTTTTTTCTTCACCCATTCCCATGCATGAGTCCCCATTACTACCCTTCACACATGGATTCTACTTTGACTTCAAATGCACATCTTACTCTCCACAGTGCATGACAAACGAACCCATACCCATATTGTTGCCAACCTTCACACGCAAATACATTATATGCAAGAGCCACCATCACCCATTCACCCCCTAATTCATCCTTACCTTCATTTTCACGTAAACATTTCAACAACAAAACAAGATTCTTCAATGTTCCACAGACCAGGGTGTTGACTGTGTTTTCTTGAGCATCCGAATCTCCTTCCCGAAAACTCTTTTTTAAGCTCAAAGTTCAAACATTTCAGCAAAATTAAACCAACCCATTTCCCCCATTCAATCATATTACACTTCACTTTCACTCTTTCACTTCCCCCACAATGCCGAGTCACTCCGACTCACCCAACTCGCCCACCAACCCACTGAGTCAACTCGCTCAAAGCATGTTCTCCGACAATAACAACAGCAACATCATGCTTGCAGCCATCGTTTCCTTGCTCCTAGTCATTCTATTTGTCCTTCTACTCCACGTGTACGCCAAGTGGTTCTTGTTCCAAACACAATCACATTCACATGTTCGCCGCCGGCGAACTCCGGCGACCGTATCCGGCGTTCCGGAACCTTCCCACTTCCACAACATCAACATAGAAGACTTGCCCATCTGCACCAAAGGCCTCGACTCTGCAATAGTTTCAGCAATTCCCCTGTTTGTGCACGAAACAGAGAAAACGGAGGAATTGGAATGTGTCATTTGTTTGAGTGTTATTGAAGAGGGTGAAATTGGAAGAAGCTTGCCAAAGTGTGGCCACGCTTTTCACGTGGATTGCATTGACATGTGGTTGAGTTCACATTGCAATTGCCCAATTTGTAGAGCTCCTATTGTGATGAGTAACAATTCTCAATTGGGTTCTGTTGATGAAGATGGTGGTGGTGGTGATAATGATCATGCAGTGATTGAGATCGTGGTTGTTACTCCAGGTTATGATGAGATTACTGAGAGTGAGCGTGGGGATGATAGTTATGAAGGTGGTAGAGTGAGTGGTTCTGTTTCTGAAACTTCTTCATCTTTGATTGGTTGTTCTTTGAAGAGAATGCTAAGCAAGGTTTTTCTGTCTTCCGATGTAAGTGAATTAGATGGTTCAGAATGAATTAAATCTTATCAATGTTTATTTATTTACACACACAACCATGAGCATTGGTAATGCATGTGCATCTTTCTGTGAAATTGTTTGGTTTCTTTTGGACATGTCAATTTTCTTTCTTGTTCTGTTTTTATCAATTTGGTTAGAGAATTCAATTATACACCCTCATGATATGACACAAACATATGCAAGAGCTCGATACATATTAATGATTGTTGTACAAGCATTGTTCAATTCTTTCTTATTTTTGCAAATCTCTTGCATTGCTTCTTTTGGTTTGGTTGGGTGAAATGTGTGATATAACTGATAAATACTCTTCTTAAGTGTTTATTGTGGTTGATTAGTGGTTACTTTATTTTTGACTTTACAAAAAGTTTTATTTTAATCTTTATTTTTTTAAATTTCTTTAAAAAATAAAATAAATATTTATAAATTTATAATTTATAGTGAAAATCTTATGAAATTAAAAATTAAAGTGACAAATATTTTCAGTTCGCGAGACATGAATAGATATTTACCTGCTCACTCATGCTTAATTACTTTTAATTTACAATACAATACATTTTTTTATTAATCAAGCAAAATATTTATTAAAAATTATAATATAATACATTAATAACATTAAATATTATAATTTGTAATAGAAATTTATTTATTTATTTTTATTATGTGTCTAAAGATTAAATTAGTATAAGAATAAACACAAAAGCGATATTAGAGCTCCATAAACTAATTTACTAATGCATCACTTTCAATTTGGCTGTATTTGTGTTGCCAAATGCAGTAAGAATGATTTCCATCAATATGTAAGGAAATAAGCAAAGTGCTAAGAATAGTTAAAAGCTTCCTCAAAGCAAAAGAAAAGACAAAAAAAGAGTACTGATTTGGCTAGAAGTGCTGCATTGGTGACTACCTGTCATGAATGATGACACTTTTAACAGTCATTGATTGTTCTGAATCTGAAGTCTAAATTTTCAATCAAAATGAAGCAGTGAATGAATGGTGTGTGTGGAAGCAGAAAGCAAATGGGGTGGCATTAGGGAAGGACAAAACTCAATGTACAGTCTTGCATGCTTTCTGGTCAATGATTTTTGTTTAAGTCTCATGCATGAGACCAGTTCTGTAAGCTGCTACATGTGAGACCATATATAGTGACGTTTGCTTTACTGTATTTAATGCAGGCCTTCGCCCCCTACCTTAGCCTATGTTGCATGACACCATGCAGCATTAATTATTAGTACAATTGGCTCGGTTAGATAAATGTTTGGAAAATATTTTACATGAAAAAACACTAGTATTAAAGGTAATTTTTTTTAAAAAAATTTATTTTAGAAAAGTTAAATAAAATACTTTTTAAAAATAAAGAATATAAGTTATTTTTAATTTATAAAAAAGATATTCATGTTTTTATTCATTTTGACTTTAGATAAATTTCTTCATTAATATTTATACAAGTAAAAATAAAGTATTAATGTGAATCAAACTTATTTTATAAATTTAATTTAATTTATATATTTTTATAAATTAATTTTTATTTAACGTCTCTAAAATTTAAAGAGATAAATAAAAAAATTATTAATTTTTACAATATTTTTTCTTATAAAAACTTATTTACAACTCACTCAATTGGATGAAGGTGACAGAGAGTCTCGGGTGCATTAAAACAAATTGAAAGGTTTAATTTTTAGAAATCAGTTACTTTTGATAAAGCTCATACAGTGCTTGCATTCCTACAGCCGATAGTAAAATCAATCTCACAGATAATTTAAATGGAATAAGAGTGTATGTGAATAAGCAATTTAATTAAGTATTTATTTGATAAAAAAATGTTATCTAAAAAGTTATGTTATAAATTTATCATAAAATTTATTAAAAATTAAAAATATATATGATATTTATGTATCATTTTTAGGTTCAAATAAATTATTCTAAATGTTTTTAAATTTTTTAAACTTTGTTTAAATACAGAAAAAGTATAAATAATATTTTTTTTTTTAGTTTTGTTGAAAAAAAATGAAAGAATTGAAAAAACATATTTAAACTTTTTCTTCTTTCTATTTTCTTCAGTTTACGTTTAACAGATACCTTTATATATATATATATATATATATATAGAGAGAGAGAGAGAGAGAGAGTGGATGCAGTGGATGGTGAAGCCCATTTTGCCCTCCTCTCATGCTTTTGGTAGTTTGAGCCCGTGACCATGTCACGCTTAGAAGTAACAACTAAAGCAGATCAGATCAGGAATCATCGTCCCATAACCTGTCGTTTGTATACTAAATTCGTTGACCAAAAAAATAGTATAGTCAATTCAGCTGTAAATTGAATCGGATAGGGTCCTCGGGTTGACTTTCTTTAAAACTTCAAAACCTGTCCTCACTTCTCAGAAGGAAAAAACAAATTGTGATTTGCTAGGATTAGTTTGGAATCCATACCCTATTATTTACATGCTCACATAGTTGATTTGTTAGCATTTCTTACTTGTATAAAATAAGTCAAGAATTTCAATTAATGAATAATAAGATGACCCTTTTGATGATTTCAATAAGTGCATCATTTGAATGTAAAGCTTTTTTAGATCAGTTGTAGGTAAAACTGTTCCACGTTAAAGAGCAAATGAAAGACCAAAATTCGAAATGTTACGTTCCATTCTATTCGTGGATGGCCGTTCTGCTACGAAATAAGACAAAATGAGAAAGGTAAAAAAAAGAATATATTAAAAATAATCTCTCATTTTAATTAAAACTAAAGAAACTAATACTCAGTTAAAATTACTAATTCAAGTCATAATGAAAAATGATATTAAGTAGCGAAATCGTCTAGGTTATGTGATTTGCCTAGATTATAAATGCAGGTTTTAAAACTTAATACTATAAAGTTTGTTAAAATATCACCAATCTGCAGTGTGATATTGTATAAAATAAATATTAAATTTGTTGAAATTCAAGTATTCATGCAAAAATGAATATATATTTGGTTGCAATTAATAGGGTTCGAATAAAGTGCGTCAGTGCACATGAATCAATTAATCGTGGGGGACATGGATGTCCTATGGTCAAAATAGTCCATATATTTTTCTAACATTCTTGTATGAGCTGCTTGAGTGAGATTTCCCATTTAGCAGTTTAAATTAGATTCAATAATTTTATTTTAAAGATGTAAACTACATTTAATTTTACAGTATTTAATATTTTATTAAATAATTTAATTACAAAATTAACTACTAAACCACAAATTTTAAATATATAAAAATCATATTTATAAATTTTTAAATTAATTTAAAATATTTGATATCTTATTTTTATACTTTAAAATGAACGTAATATATACTTTTAAAATATATAAAAATTTATATTCTTATAGTTATTTAATTTTGATAAATTTTAACAAAAATAATTAAGAAAATATATAATTAAAATTAATAAATATTATATTCTCTATGAAATTATTCACAATATAAAAATAACGTGCCTTATATTGGTGTAATATTATTCTTTTTCGTAAAAAGAATATATGAAATATTATATAATTATATAAATATAATTCGATTAGTAAAATCTTAAATTTAAATTTTTATTTATGGAAAAAATATTCTGAGTCAGTTTACCAAAAGATTGGAGTCTCTTTTAAAGTTTTATTTTGGCGAACGAGTCTCCTTCTCGGCCTTCCTTTCTTTCCATTTTCGCCTATTGCCGACTTTGCCTTCACCCGTCAATCACGTTTCAGCTCATCAAACGCGCTTTCCACAGTACCTTTGTTCATCGTGTTTGTTTGATTCGGCTAGCTCATTTGAAATTACTATTTTTTGTCTTTTACTCTCTCATAACGTGTTATGTTCCCATCTATCTATTTAAAAAAAATGTTCGAGTTGAATCTAGTTCATACTCACGGATTACACGAGCCTGAAATATTCTGAATATTGTTAGTTAATTTTCAATTACACAATTTTACACTTATAAATATTAAAATATGTTTCATGAGAGGTACCTCAAATAAAATGTAAATTTAACCCTAGCAATGGGAAGGTCTATACAATTAAAGTTGCCAAATGAATTGGTTTGCCCTCATCTATCCTTCTTCATTATTGCTTCATCTTTAACTTCAGGATTTCAGGATTTAGCATAATTGTTATATTTTTCTCTTAGTAATGTGCTTCAATTCAAATTGAAAACTCTGCCTGCAGTTTGTAATATGCGATCACTATAAAATGTAATAACCTTTGTTTTAAGGTATACTTATAGGGAAATTTTGGAAAGAAAGGACATTTTTTTAATTTTAAATTAAAAAAATTATATATCATTTATAATAATAAATACATAATTAATATATGAAATTTATGATAATATATCAATTTATATATTTTATTATAAAAAATATTAATTTTAAATATATTTATTTAAAATACAAAACAAAACCTCCCACCTTTTCTCTCAAAAATCTCCTCCTCACACAAACCTTTTAAAAAACTGAAAATATATCAAATTGACTCATAAATCATAATCAATTATCATAATTAAATACATAATCTTGAAGGATCTAATTTTCTAAAATAGAACATTTCTTTTCTAAAAAATAAATTATAATTATTAACTAAAAAGTTCATTATTAATGGTAAAATACATGCATACATAATAATTATTTATTACTAAAATATACTTTTTTTCTTTTTTTTTCATCATTGACTTAAATGATTCAATTTTTTTCCTCTTCAAGTAAACCATTCTAACACTTTAGCCTTATATCATATTGTCATTATACTTTTGTATTAACTAGGGTGTTATTCCAATAAAAAAAGTGTCTGGGCTCGAATCTTATTTTATGTAATTATCATATCGGATTCAAAGGTAGTCGTGTTCTATTCTTACAGAGAAAGCAATCAAACATAATAATAATAATAATAATAATAATAATAATAATCACGTGTCATTGTCATTGCCAATGCCAAGTCTCCTCCGTACGTGTATTTTTACTTTTCTATTGTCCTTTTTAAGCTACCGACTCATCTTCTTACTGTTTGTAATTTTTTTATTTATTTTTAATCTTTAAAATATATTAAAATTTGTTAATTTTGATCTCTCGTGAAACTTATGGAAAAATAATATATAATAAAAAAATTAATACATGATAACATTTAAATTAGAGCAGACATTTTTAAAATATAAAAAATAAAGTAAAATAATGATTTTATTAAAATAAAATTAACATTTAATATATTTTAAAAGATTAAAAATATATTTAACTGTTGATTATATATTGAATGTTCAACGTAACATGCTTAAACCGCAACAACTAGAAAAAGTGGATTCAACAAAGAGGCGTGTAGGGCTTTTCTCCTAAGCACATTCTCCCCTTCAAAATCTTCGCTCATGCTCTTCATTCAATCTAAATTTGCGTTTTCATTTGTTACGGGGTGTGTTTCATACGTAGAATCTTATTTCAATTTCTGAAAATTATGTTTTCATAAAACTTATATTTTAAGATAATTATAATTTTTAAGAATATAATATATTAAAAAATTTTGACAACATTTTAATGATCAATATAACTAAAATTTTTAACTTTCATAAGAATCTTAAATTACAATATTTTTATGGAAATATTTTATTTTTTAAAAATATTCATATTAAATAAGAATTTAAATATTTTAACAAAGTTAAAAAAAAATCTTGCCAAACACCCTATTATGTCATTATACAGTTTCCAATTAGGTAGAAGTCTAGATGATGGAGGGATATAAAGACAATAATAATATATAAAAAGAAAGAACGAAAGTAGTTAACTTTATGGAAGATAAGATGTGTAGCACTAAGAATCAAAATCATGCGATCCCAAATTCCACCAAAATTAACAAATAGGAAAGAGTGGAGTGGAATATGTGTATGTATTTGCAGCAAAAGTTGGAAAGAAATAAATTATGAAAGTAATAAATTTGATGACAATAAAGTAAAGTGATACTTTAAATTGCGTTGGCTAAGAGTGGCACATGCATTACTTCATCGTCCATTATCCCCTTCGCTGCCATGGCATTCAGCTTTTTCAGTTACATTTGCCCTTATTATTAATGTTCATTGTTCAATCACTTTTAGCTTTATGCATTTTTATTTTACTAACGTTAAATGGTGAAGGAAACTGGAAAAGCAGAGTGCCAATCCACTAATTGATCACTTTAGCCATTTTTATTTACTCAAATTTTAGCACTAATTGCCGCTTTTCTAAAATCAAAGGTTATCAATATTTAAATATGACTCTTAAACTAGATCAAGTTAGTTGAGACACTGTAACAACGCAACTCTCCATTTGAATTTTTAACCCACCCGTATTTAATTTCTAAATTTCAAATCTTAGACTTTCAATTAAGTTAAAGGAGTTCCCTAATGGAAGATCTACATGTTCCATGGTAACACAACCCTTTGGGTTTTTCTTTTTTTAATAAGCACTTTTAGGATATATTTGTGAATTGAATTTTAGAAGAAAAATAAAAGAAAGATTTTTTTTTATTTCTAATAAATATTCTTTGATTTAATCAAAATAAGGTCATAGGTTGTGGGGAAAAACGAATATTCTATTTGGTTTTCTTAGCAGTGTGTTGAACCACTTCGTTGTTCAAATACTTGCATGTTTCAACTCTGAGTCTTTTGTAAATGGGTTGGAGTATTCTTTGCAGGGTTTTTAATTAATTACAATTTTTTTCTTTATTGATAAAAAAATTCTTCAATTTTATGATTTTAAAAATAAAATAATAAATTAGTATGAATTAATATATTAATACTTTATTTACTTTATAAATATTATATAACTCTTTCAATTCAAAAATGAAATATTTATCTTTTTCTCCCTTTTTTTTATTTAAACAAAGTAAACAATTTCCACTGTTTTCAATTTAAGCACAAATTATTTTAGCAGTTCCAGCTGCTTTCGTTTCTGAAACAGTTTACACACAAAAGATACATTCTTTAGCTATTGTAATTTTTCTCTGTTACAGTTGTGAATATAATTAAATAAAATAAATAAACAACCAAATGACTATCTCAAGAAGGTGACTCCATTGGGAGTGCTAATTAAGACCATTATTTAGCACTACTTATTTTCTTGCGTGTAATGCACCTGAGGAAAAGTAGAACGGACAAATGTTAAGCAGCAGATTTAGTCAACATTCCTCTAACTCTAACCATGTCAGCTATATCAAAATCTCCAATTTTAGCTAAAAGATCGGCAGACCAATTGAAGTTTTGTGCTATTATGGCTTAAATCTAAATGCACTTCAACAAAGAAGTGTATGTTTGAAAATAAAATTATATTGAAATAAAAGTTATAACTTGTAGTGTTTAAATGAATTTATGTTTGAGTAAATTTGACACCGACTAAAGAAGTTATAAGCGAATGTTAGATTCCATGTTAAACTCTGACGCTAATGCAGAAGCTACCTCATATATCATCAAAGTGAACTTTAGGAAGGTTCCAACACACTATAAATTGTGAAGATTTAGTTGAAAATATGATCAACTATATATGTACGTACGTGCATTACACATAACACTTAATGAACAAAGTTAGAGGTAATATGTAGTGCTCCATAAATTCTTTCCCTGACAAGTTTGTTATTTACACTTAAATTATTGGACATAATTTCTTTTTTGGGTAAACGCATTTAGGCGCAAGGTACAAAATTTTCAAGCCCAGAGAGCCAGAATAGACATTGCAGCAGAGCCAAGGGTTAAGGCAACAAATGAAGCTTTTTTCAACCGAGGGTTTGAGTTCATAAGCTTGTTGTGAAAGAAGTCTACTGCTATAAGGTCAACAAGAGCCATGTAAATCAGTATTCCTGAAGAAATTGAACCTAGTAACCCTTCCATGATTAAGGCATTTGGGCTACTATCATCGAAACCTGTAAGTGAGAATAATGCCATGCCCAACATTATCCCCATTGGTGTTGTCACCGCGAACATGAAGCACATGTAAGCAATTGTTCCAACGCTGAATCCTGCCTGTAATTATCACCATACATGCGTATGAATTATGATCTTGTAGCTAAAAACATTAAGTATGGTACCTCAATAAAATTGCTCATGAATACATCTCCTTTTTGGTTTACATAGGAGACGGTAAATATGAAGTATGACATCTAATACAAAGGGAGGAAGAGAGTAATATAGAGCATAAATAAAACGGTAGAGAGACATTCAACCCGGGGGTTGCTTAATTACTTCTTTTAGTAAAATCGTAATTTTATTATATATTCTAATTGTTACTGCATAACATCAATTTAATGTGCCCATAGGTTATAGAATATCATGTCATTTTATTTATCAGAATGTAAATAGCGACATTCAATCTCCAATAGAGATAGCGTAACTTGTGTTAATCATTCCATCCATCTCATATTATATGTTACTTAATATCAATGCAAACAACTTAAGAAAATAATTAATAATTAGGTTTATATAAAAATTACTCTGATAAAATAAATTGATTTAATTAAAATACTCCTATTAAAAGCGATGAAGTTATTACAGTAGTTAGGTACTCGATCTCTGTTATATTAAATATTACTTAAACACTTTTTATTTGTCTCAAATTATTTTTTACTTTAAAATATAAAATAATATTTGTTTATTTATTTTCAATAATACCCTTATTTATTAAGAATGAATTTTGTGAACTAATAACTAAAATAACACTAAGAGTAGTTTATTACCTAATTACATCAGCACTTTTAATAGGGGCCAGTGAAATTAAATTTTTTAACCATAATTAAGGATAAAAATAGGATAAGTTAAGCTTTGTAAAAACAAGCCTAACTCATTTAATAATTTTGAAGTCTTAAGTTTGACATATTATTTTTATAAGCTTTTTATTAAGCTTAGTATAATCATTTTAAAAGCTTACTTTAACCTATTAATTTTTTTAACAGTATATTTCATGTTAAAATCTTCAATAGCTTATTAAATTTTTTTATAAACAGACTGTTAAACTATCTAAATAGGTACATTTGTATCAAGGTCATAAAGTTTATATCTAAATAAATTATAAAAAAAATGGTTCAAAACATTAAACATGTATAATAAAATTACATATGTTTATTTCATCAAAATATGTAATTGAAATAGTGCAAAAATACAAATTAACATTATGCTTACAAGATAAATCAAACAAGAGTGGTACAAAAGATTCTAACAAGTAGATCTCTCTTTTAAAAAGTAAGTAGTAAGAATATTCTTTAACTCAAACGAAAATATTATGATTTATAATTTAAGATTTTTTTATTTTAAAATTTAATTTATTTAATATACTATTATATTATAATTTTGATATAAAATTATTTAATATATTATTATAAATTTTAAATATACTATTCTAATAAGTCTAAATAAAGCTTATTATAAGTCAAACCAAATTAGGTCTTAATAAGAATGGACAGTATACTTAAAGCCTAACTCTATCCATAGTAAATGGAAAAAGTAATATCTTTTTTAAGATATATGCATTAATAATACTAAGTGGTATTTAATATGAAGGAGTAATAACTAATTTTAGAATTATTTTAATAGTTAATTGACAAAAATTCTCTAAGAAATAAGGGTATTATTAAAAAAATGTTTTCTTAATAATTTAAGGTGACATAATTTGAGATAGAAAATACTCATGACAACTATCGCTACAAATCAAGCAATAATTTATTCTGCTTAGACTGGCTTTCTGAAGACTTTAAACATTGCTATTAATTAGGATGCAAGGTGAAGAACCAATTAATATTTATTATTTAAAGAGTTACTTTGGTCAACATTTCAACCCCATCTTTCCCTGCTGAGTTGCAGGCAAAATTGACAAAAGGTCAAGCCATGTTTCTCACGCAACACAAATTCACATTTTCCAATTTGCAATAGCTGTTGTGACTACACGACCACACACAAAGGCAAATGTAATAAAATTCTCCTCAGGTGGTTCTTTTAGCTTGAAAATTTTAAGTCACATAACTTATTTTATATACCACCTGTTATTTTTGACAAATTATATTTCACTCTTTTATTTTACTGTACTTATGTTTGATAGGATTAATAAAGTGAGCATGGGAAGTTTTGGATATCTTTCTCTTTTTAATTATCGAAGCTATAAACAATCATAACTCAGGGACTCTACCCAGTAGCCCCCATTTCCCAACGTCTTTACCCGAATTTATAAAAGTAAAATTTGGAAGATCTTATCAATAGCTTTTAAAAATAATTTATGACTTGTATGCAATTTATTAATTTATTTCAATATGTTTTATATAACTTAATAATATAATTTCTTTTAAATTTCATAGTTTATTTAATATATCAGTTTCAATATAAAAATCATTAAATCAATATTTAATTATGTTACGTTTCCACTGTACCCAAAAGTTAAAACCAACCATCAAGTTATTATCTGTCAGATTTGAGACCACAGAAAATAATAAGAAACACGTTAACAACAGAGGAATTAGTAAAATGTTTAAAAAGCTGAAGCAAATACTAAAAACAAGAAAACAATTCTCCCATCAAATTATTGAGGTCAGGCATGAAGAAACGAAAGAAAGTCAGCAATAAACAAATTTAGAGAACCCCCAAACATAACTAAGATTCCTACACTAATTTTCCCTTGTAATTTATAAAGAATAAAAGGGCCTAATTTGGAAAACATTGACTAATGAGAGCCCTAAATCGATTAAACAATGGGGTTTTTTAATGACAAGTATGTTAATAGTAGTAAATGAGAGAAAGCTTTCTCTTCAATTCCAGAAACACCCAATTAAACAATCATATTCCAAAATCCAAATAGTTTAGCTCAGTAATAAAGGTATAATTAAGTATAATAATAAATGAGTAAGATGATAGGGAAATGAAGCAAAAAACCTGAGCGACGCAACCACCAAGACCCATGCCTTCAAATATTTGATGAAAAGCCAAAGCAGCAACGAGAGGGCGAATAGTGCAAACGTTTTGAGACATTCCCATCGTAACCCCAATTATCACTGAGTGAAATATTATCCCAATTTCCAACACTTGCGAAACCAATTTCTGCTTCAACTTCACCAACTCTTCAACCTTCTCACCCTCGCCACCGCCAACACCACCGTGGCAACCACCTAGTTCCACCACCGCCTCCTTCTCCTGCGTCACCACCGGCGCGTACTGCGCGTGCTCCACATGCGAGCTCGCCGCGAGGTCCACCAGCAGCGCCAGCAGTGCCCCCACCAGCGTCACCAGTCCCGCGAAGGGAAAATCCTTCCAGGGATGTCGTGACGCCACGTTGCAGTCCGCGAGTGCGGCGTACGCGTCTGGGAGCACGTGGACCAGCGACGTGGAGAGGATGACGCCGGCGGCGAAGCACTTGATTAGCACGATGGCCCTGTCGTAGAGCGGCTTGCCGCGAAATATTCCGGCTAGCAACACCGGCGACGACATCCCGACCATGCTGGTGACGAAGATGACGAAGATTGAGATGACTTTGAGGTGAGCCGCCGCGGCGCCATCTCGGCAAGCCGCCGCTCGAGCCAAGTCGGTGGCGCATGCTGCCGCCATGCAGGTAGTGAGAGAGAATTGAAAGACAGAGAGAGAGAGAGAGAGGAGGGAAGTGTTGTGGTGTTGGAAGAAAGGGATGAAGTTGGAAGAGTAAGAAGAAGAGTGATAAATGACGTGGACCAGATTATGGCTTACGTTGTGGGTTCTCTTGTTAATGGTATGACTCATTTTTTCACTGTTACGTGTTGGAATCTTTAATGATTCACAACTCACTGCTCTTTTTTCATTAATTATTATATTTATTCTTTTATCACATTTTATATATAATCTAATTATTTATAAAGAATAAATACTTATTTCATAAAGATTAATAAAAAATAATTATATATTACAAATTTATATATTATTTTAGAAATGTTCATAATATTAAAAATAGTCAAATTAATATGTTATATTAATTAATATATGATGTTTGTGGATAAAAAATTAGATATTTGATTAACACAAATCTTATAATAAAGAAATATAAAAAATTCAATAATTAATACATATAAAAATATTTTTATTTTATATATTTATTAAAATTATTAATAATTATTTTTTATAAAATTAAAAGTGATATTTCATAATAAATATTTATTTTTGTTTATTATTTTATAATTTAATTATAAAATAGAAACATTTATCTGATTGTCTCTGTAAGAAACAAAAATAGCATTCATCGTTTATCTTGTTGTTTGAAGAAATATGTTAAATATATATTATTAAAAAAGGTTAACATATTAAATTTATATTAATATATTATTTTATAATTTTTATTTTTAAAAATTATAAATTTGAAAAATACTGGAGTGATAAAAAATTATGGCAACCTTCAATTCCTACCAAAGTCTAATGATATTTGCTACGGTACTCTTAAAATTGAAAGATATTATATATTCTCTTTAAATTAAAAGGTATAATTTTTTTTATATTTTAAAAATTAAAAAATATTTATATTTTTTTAAATAAACTATTAAATCACCATGTAAGAGAATATAAGATATTCCTCATTTTAGAGAACATGAGTATCTTGAAAAAATTAACAAATCTAATTCTTATGCAAATTTTAAAAGGTTAAGTAAAAATAATAACTTTACATAAGTATATTTAGAACAAGGTCTTGCCTTTTCTATTATGTTATTTTACTCTTTTGTAAGGGTAAGAAGTCTTAAATTTGTCTTATTTTCTCTATGTTCCGTGAATTTTATATTACTTTGAGTATGAAAGTTAATCTTGACAAATCAAGAGGCATGTAAACTAGTATCCCTAAGTAATGAGATGGTTTTCATGAACTTTTTTCTATCCTTTTTGTGAATGATACAAGCTACTAACCTTTCTTCCCTTTACATTGAAGGAAAGTGAAACACATTGTTTAAAGATGTATAAAAATTATTTTCTTGGCAAATTGTTAAACAATGTTGGAAGAATTCGCAAAGTTAGAATGTATTTCAAGTAGAAAATTGAGATTAATGTCATGCTAATCCTTTTTTGTGTTATTTTGTTGATAAGTGGTTATGGATGAAATAGTTTTCAAATACTTGTATCACTAGGGATGAAAACAGGTCAAGTCAGACTTTACTATAAACAAATATGGTCTGTAACATAATTATTAGGCCTGAGTCTGACTTGTTACCTATTAAAGACTTTATTTTAGGCCTGACATGTTTAAGTGGTCTGACCTGAAGCATGTTAACAAAATCTGTTAAAAAAATATATTAATAAAAATATAAATATTTTATTATCAAATTAATTTATATATTTTTTAATTTCTATCTATGTTATTAATAATTATTAAATAATTATAATAATATTTATATAATTTTATAAATAATTTTTAAAATATTATTTAAGTATTAATTATAAATATTTTATATTAATAAAATTTATATTTATATTTTTCTTGATTTATTTTTTAAAAATTATATAAATAGTAAATATTTTAATTTTATTTTAGAAACATATTTTATTTGTTTTAAAACATCTTATATTCAACAAATAACGTAAACACAAAAAATTGATAAAAAAAAATAACATTCACACAATTTATTGAATCAATTAAAAGAAAATTATTATGTTTTAAAAAATAAATAAATTTAAACTTAATACAATATATATATATATATATATATAATGACAATAATAATAACTATTAAATTAAAAAATAATTACAAAATATTTAATTTTATTTATTTCATTAATTTGTTATTTTAAATTAACAAATAAACATAAAATTAATTACATTATAACATTGATGTAATATAGAAAATATTACTGATACAATAAATTAAAATATTTACTTATATATTACATATAAATTAATAAATTAACTAATAATTTAATTAAAACACGTGCGAGTTACAAAAATATATATTATTATATAATTTATTTATAATTATATTATTTATTACATAGTCTGATTATATATATATATATATATATATATATATATTATAATAAAATTTTTATTTTTATTTTTATTATTTTTTATAAATTTTTTCTTTTGAATACAATATAATTTATATTTAAGCAATTTCTATTTATTATAAATATAAAAAATTATAACATAATATATTAATATAATAATTAAATATTAATAATAATAAAATTAAAAATATGAAAAATTTATTAAAAGAATATTAATATTTTTTTTAACTTTTAAGTCATTCTGTTTTGATCGTATCTTATTCTTCTTAAACTTGTTTAAATATAACAAATATAATAATTTATAATTAAATAAATTCATTTTTTGACCACGTGTAATTATGTATAAATATTTTTAGTTTCAAATATAATATAATTTTTATTTATTATAAATAAAAAATTATAACATAATATATTAATATAATAATTAAATATTAATAATAATAAAACTAAGAATATAAAAAATAAATTAATATAATATTATTATTTTATTTTTAAATATTAGTTTATTTAATTTTAATTGCGTTTTAATCTTATTCGAAGACTTTACTATTCTTCAACTTGTTCAAACAAATATAATAATTTATTTTATATTTATATTTAAAGTAACTATAGATAATAATAAAACAAGAATAAAAAATAAGTGTGATAGCAGCTTCGGCTTGGAGGTAAGTGGTTATGTTAGGTTTGTGATTTGTTGTGATGTATTGAATATAATTAATGAAATTTTTTATTATAAATTTTATACCAATAAAATTACTTAAGAAAAGATAAATAAAATAAAATAATTTTGTATAAATATTAAAAATTTATAATGATTGTTGTTATTAAATAATATTAATAAAAATATAATTATATTATTATCAAATTAGTTTACATATATTCAAATTTTTATTTGTATCATTGATAATTATTAAATAATTATAATATTTTTTATACAATTTTATAATTATTTGAGCATTAATTATAAATATTTTCATATTATAAAATTTTTATATTTTTATTTTTCTTAATTTAATTTTATAAAAGTATTAAATTATTAAATATTTTAATTATTTTTTATGATAATTATATTTTGCTTATATAAAGACATTTTATATTTAATAAATAAAATCACAATAACCACATAAAATTGATAACAAAAAATAACACTTACAAAATTTATTCAATCAGCTAAAAAAAATATTATATTTTAAAAAATAAATAAATATTGTTATTATAAAAATTATAGATAAAAAATATTTATATTATAAAATTCATAAATGCAGAAAAATAACATATAAGTATAGGATGAATTATTAAAATTTATATTTAAATTAAAATAACTTATATTTCTAAATTTTTATCTTAATTAAAAAATATGTGATAAAACTTAATATAAAAATTTAAACTTAATGTACTATATATATATATATATATATATATATATATAAAATATGACAACAATAATAATTATTAAATTAAAAATAATAATTACAAAGCATTTAATTTTATTTGTTTCATTAATTGTTATTTTAAATTAATAAATAAACGTAAAATTAACTATACTATAACATTAATGTAATATAAAAAATATTACTGATATAATAAATTAAAATACATACTTATATATTACATATAAATTGATAAATTAATTAATAATTTAATTAAAATACATGCAAGTTACAAAAATATATATTATTATATAATTTATTTATAATTATATTATTTATATTATTTGCTACTTGATTATATATATATATATATATATATATATATTAATATATATTATAATAAGTTTTTTATTTTATTTTTTTTATTTTTTAATAAATTTTTACTTTCAAATAAAATATAATTCAGATTTAAGTAATTTTTATTTATTATAAATAAAAATAATTATGTTATAAGATATTAATATAATAATAAAATTAATAGTATAAAAAATATGTTAATATAATTTTATTATTTTATTTTGAAATTTTATTTTGTTTAGTTTTGATTATGTTTTATTCCTGTTCAAAGACTTAACTATTGTTTAAATTATTTAAATATAATAAATATAATAATTTATTATTAAATAAATTTATTATTTAAAAAGTGTAAGCATCTATAAATATTTTTAATTTTCAATAGAATATAATTTTTTTATTTAAATAAAATTATAACATAATATATTAATTAATAATAACAGAATTAAGAATATAAAAAATATATTATTAAATAACTTTATTATTTAAATATATTTTGGTAGCTCTATTTTTTAATTATAATACATTATATATATATATATATACAGGTCGGGGCCTGTTCCTGTCAAACTTTATAAACAGCTTACGCCCGATTTATTTATTTAAACAGGCCTTAAAAAAAAATTTAAGTCTGATTTGTTTATTAAAAAAGTCAAATTACAGGCTCTTGTCAGGCGGTCTGGCATGTTTCCGTCCCTATGTACCACCAATGGTATCCACACATGGATGCTCTCTAAAAATTGCACATGAAACTTAAAAATTCTATCATACATTAATTAGTGCAATTTTTTTTTAATAAATGCATTATGAAACAAAGGTTTACTTCACTTTGATAACTATGTTATATGTTCATGTTAATGATAGGACTCTCTCAACATTTAATAGATGTTAGTTTGTTTTAATTTGATCCTCTAACTCTTTTTTTTTTTTTTTTCATTTTAATCTTTTAATTTGTAAAAGTGTTTTATTATGTAATTGAAAGGTCTTTTA